CTCTCTCTCTCTCCCTTCCTTCCTTCTCTTTTCTCTTTCTTTCCTTTCTTTCTTTCTTTTCATTTTCTTTTCTTTCTTTTTTTTTGTGCCAGACCTGGAGCTTTAGCTCAGGGCCTGAGCACTGTCCCTAAATCTTTTTCCTCAAGGCTAGCACACTGGAGCCACAGCTCCACTTCTGGCTTTTTTTTAGTGGTTAATTAGAGACAAGAGTCTCACGAGCTTTCCTGCACTGACTGGCTTCGAACCATGATCCTCAGATCTCAGCCTCCTGAGTAGCTAGGATGACAGGCGTGAGCCACCAGCTCGTGGCTGTGATTTTTTTTTTCAATAGAAGTTGGAAATCCTTTTATGTGTACTCCCCAGATATTAAGGGCAACCGATTTAAATCTTGATGGAAATGTTGCATGTGCTAAAAGTGAGTCTATAGGACAGGTGTACCCCAAAACTTCCAGTGGGTATACACCACGACCATCGACACCCCCCCCCAGTGACATACCAGGGCTTTAACATCTAAATATCTAAACATCTTCATTTTACTTTGTGGGGAAACTGAGGTCCAAAGGTAAAAAAGGTTTCCTGGAGCAATGCCAAAGGTCCTGACCTCTGGTCCCAGGACCTTGTCTGTCTGTCACCCAAGTCCTTTTTGGTAGGGACTGTAATAGATCAAGCAGGGCCCGGCTCCAAGCAGCAAAGGGGAGCCCCGATGAGTTGGGGAGGTCGCCAGATCCCAAGGGCAGGCATTTGACGGGGAGGGGGGATCTATTTTTAGCAGACTCAAGTGTGCCTTCTCAGCCTTATTTAGACATTGGGCCATGGGATGAGCAGGAGGCTGGGGGGGGGAGGGGAAGCCCCCTTCCCCGCTCCCAGGCTCTTCTAATGCCCCTGCCCACCCCCTGATCATGCTTTCTGGGGGGCTCCCTGGTGGCTGGAGATAGCCAGCCCTTGCCTGCCATGGGTGTTATTCTGTCCCATTAGCTTGCTTCCTCTTGATCTTCACATTTTCCCACAGGGTCCATTCTGGAAATCCAGGGTGATTGGGATATTGAGGCTTCACAGTCTGGGAGAGACACAGATCTCTTTCTGAAATATTTATCTTGGTGGTTTATAGCTCAAGTTGTGGGAGTTCCGTAGGACTGAGTTCAAATCCCAGACAGGAGCACAAGCAACTTGAGCCACAGCACCACTTCTGGTTTTCTGAGTGGTTTGTTGGAGATCAGAGTCTCATGGACTTTCCTGCCTGGGCTGGCTTTGAACTGTGATGCTCAGATCTCAGCCTCTTGAGTTGCTAGGATTACAGGTGTGAGGCACTAGCCTCTGGGAAAAATGGATGTTTTCTTTCATCCCCACCTGAAGGGCAAATGGTAGCACATAACCCATTGGTACAGAAGGAAAAAAAATGGGATAAAAAGCGACGCTGTGGCTCAAGTGGTAGAGCGCTCGCCTTGAGCTGAAAAGCTGAGGGACAGCGCCCAGGCCCAGAGTTCAGGCCCCACAATCGACAAAAAAAAGGTGGTAGGGGGGATAAAAGTATGGTATCAGTGGCTCATGCCTGTAATCCTAGATATTCAGGAGGCTGAGATCTGAGGATTGTGCCAGAGAAGGAAAGTCTGTGAGATTCTTATCTCCAATTAACTACCAAAAAGTGGAAATGACACACCAAAGTAGAACACTAGCCTTGAGCACATAAGCCGAGGGACAGGGGCTGGCTTAGTGATCGAGTGCTCGCCTAGCCTGCATGAAGCCCTGGGTTCGATTCTTCAGTACCACATGCCCAGAAGAAGCCAGAACTGGTGCTGTGGCTCAGGTGGTAGAGAGCTAGCCTTGAGCACAGAGAGGCTCAGGGACAGAGCCCAGACCCTGAGTTCAAGCCCCAGGACTAGTGGACTAGCATAGGAGCGCGCATGTGCGCATACACACACATACACACACACACACACACACACACACACACACACACACACACCAAAAGCTTAGTATATCAGAACAGACCGCTATCCCCCATAAAGATAGTAATTAAGGCTAGATCCTTTGTTGTTGTTGTTGTTTTGGTCAGTTGTGGGGCTTGAACTCTGGGCTTGGGCGCTGTCCCTCAGATCTTTCGCTCAAGGTTAGTGCTCTACTGCTTGAGCCACAGTGCCACTTCCGGCTTTTTCTGTTTATATGGTGCTGTTTATATGCATGCGAGATAAGCACTTTAGCACTGAGCCACCTTCCCAGCCCCAGGGTTTTGTTTTTGGTTTTGTTTTTGTCAGTCCTGGGGCTTGAACTCCGGACCCGGACCCTGTCCCTGAGGTTCTTTTGCTCAAGGCTAGCACTCTACCACTTGAGCCACAGCTCCACCTCCAGCTTTTTCTGTGTATGTGGTACTGAGGAATCGAACCCAGGCCTTCATGCATGCTAGGCAAGCACTCTACTACCGAGCCACACTCCCAGCCCCTAGATCATTTGTTACACTGTGGATATGGAACCTGTGGGGTAATGTTGAAAAGTAGGACTTAGGGAAGTAATAGAATCAGGATGTTATCAATACATTGATCCAATTTAGATGATGGTAAAAGCTGAGGAAAGCAACCCAACTGACGAGTGCCCTTGGACCCATCTCCCTCCAGAGCCCTCCCTCCCTTCCCCCCTCTCCCCCACACCCTTCCATTACGATGTTCTGACTCACCACAACTCAAGAAACAATGCAATCAGCCTGAGCCAAACTGAAGCTTTCTTCCTTGAAGTTGATTTTTTGCAACTTTTTTGTCACGGTGAGAAAAAGCAAACCAACAGAGACCTTCAACCCAGAAAGCAATGGAATGGAGACTCACGTGCCAATGGCTCACGCCTGTGATCCTAGCTACTCAGGAGGCTGAGAACAGAGGATGGAGGTTCAAAGCCAACCTGGGCAGGAAAGTCCAGGAGACTCTTGTCTCCAAAGAACCATCAGAAAAAGCCACCAGTGAACGTGTGGCTCAAGCAGTAGAGTGTCAGCCTGGAGCAAATAAACTAAGTGCCAAGGCTCTGAGTTCAAACCCCAGTACCGAAACATGTATAGGCACCCACATGTGCACACCCACAAATAGAATTGCTTACTTAACTGCACAACTGTGGCTACAAACTCTGGGCATCCATGAGACCCTTGAAGGCTTGTAATTTTAATCCAAATTTATCTCAGTTCAACTTATTTACCCAGTCACGCTTTGTCTCAACAAAAAAATTCCTGGAAACTGGGCACACATGACTCACGTCTGAAATCCTAGCTACTCAGGAGGCTGAGATCTGAGGATCACAGTTCAAAGCCAGCCAGGGCAGGAAAGTCCATGTGACTCTGATCTCCAATAAACCACCAGAAAACCGGAGGTGGCGCTGTGACTCAAGTGGTAGAGCGCTCGTCTTGAGCTGAGGAGCTGAGAGACAGTGCCCAGGCCCTGAGTTCAAGCCCCAAGACTAACAAATAAATTAATAAACAAACTCTCTGGAGCCTACTTGATGCAGGGCCAAGTCATACATGTGCAGATTAATAGCAAAAAGCAAGGGTCATAATGAAAGCCTAGGGCTGGGGACTGTGGCTCAAGCAAAGCTCAAGGAAAGAAAAAGAGAAAAAGGAGCTGGGAAGGTGGCTTAGTGGTAGAGTGCTTGCCTCGCATGCATGAAGCCCTGGGTTCCATTCCTCAGTACCACATACACAGAAAAAGCCAGAAGTGGTACTGTGGCTCAAGTGGTAGAGTGCTAGCCTTGAGCAAAAGAAGCTCAGGGACAGTGCCTAGGCCCTGAGTTTAAGCCCCAGGACTGGCTAAAAGAAAACAGGGAGGGGCGTGGATGGGTGGGTGGGTGGGGAGCAGACCAGGGTTTGACTTGGGAGAATTCATCTCCCTGGGCTGCCTGTAATTTGCATCCAGGCTGTGTTTCTTTAAGAAGTTGGGGGGAAGCCTATCCAGGATCTTGATTTAAAAGGTATCTGTGTGTGTGTGTGTGTTTTTATAAATAAATAAAATAAAAATAAAAACCCAAACGTGTTGTAACCCGAGGCCCTGGTAACCACAACACCAAGAACAGAGGAGGAAACTGCTCCCGCCTACCCAGCTCTCCACACCCAGCCCTCCGCCTGGAGCCCTGCCGTAATTGCTGGATTAGATCAGCCCCGGATTTCAGCCAGGAGGGCAGGGCCAAAGACACCAGTGTCTTTGGGATCCTCAGCTTCCTCCTGAATCATTCCAGAAGGTGAGGACCTCATGGTCCCAAGCTCTTCCGGAGGCCTCCTTCCCCCCCCCTCCCCGCCCATCACCTTAAATAACACTCATCTGACCTTGAGCCTTCCACAAAGTCTAACCACCTGCCCATAGCAGGTCATTTAACCCCCTTTTCCTTCCTTTGCCAGCAAGCAAGGGCACTGGGACCCTTTAAAAATGCCCTGTGGGCTGGGCACCGGTGGCTCATGCCTGTCATCCTAGCTACTCAGGAGGCTGAGATCTGAAGCTCATGGTTCAAAGCCAGCCTGGGGCAGGAAAGTCCATGAGACTCTTATCTCCCATGAATCACCCTAAAACCAGAAGTGGTGCCATGGCTCCAAGTGTTAGAGAGCTAGCCTTGAGCAAAAAGAAGCTCAGGGACAGCGCTCAGGCCCTGAGTTCAAGACCCACGGCCAGCAAGAAGAAAAGAAAAGAAAGAATCCTGTGGCACTAACCAAAATGCTCTTCTTGGGATGCAGATGAGAAAGAACCCCTACTTAACCTGCAAAACCCAGCGTCATCTCTCATCCCCTGCCAAGGACACGCGCACCTTCACCCTTCACCATCTGTGCCAGAATTAGCCATGGCTTCTGCTCCTGCAGTGTTTTTCCATATGCTCTGATCTATCATCTGTCCACCTGGTCCAGATGCAGTGCAATCACCTCCAAATATTATGTTTAGCTCGAACAGTAGTGTGTGTGTGTGTGTGTGTGTGTGTGTGTGTGTGTGTGTGTGTGTGTATCTGTCAGGGAGATAGACAGATACAGACTACACAGATTATACATATATATAAAGAGAAGCTTCCTATTTTCCATTTAAATACAAAAACAATCTTCCAGCTTCTGTTGAAAACATTTGGGAGATACTGGGAATGTAGCTTAGTGGTAGAGTGCTTGCCTAGCATGCATGAAGCCCTGGTTTCGATTCATCTGTACCACATTCACAGAAGAAGCCAGAAGTGGTGCTGTGGTTCAAATGGTAGAGTGCTAGCCTTGAGCAAAAGAAGCTGAGGGATAGTGCCCAGGCCCTGAGTTCAAGCCCCAGAACTGGAGAGAGAGTGAGAGACAGAGAGACAGAGACAGAGAGGGAAAAAATGGGAGATCAGACCTCAAGGTGCTAATAGCTCATGCCTATAATCCCAACCACTCAGGAAGCTGATATTTGAGGATCATGGTTCAAAGTCAGCTCAGGCAAGAAAGTCCATGAGACTCTTATCTCCAATGAATTACCCCAAAAGCCAGAAGTGGGGCTGTGGCTCAAGTAGTAGAGCACTAGCCTTGAGTACAGAAGCTCAGGGACAGCACCCAGGCCCTGAGTTCAAGCCCCATGACTGAACCATACACACACACACACACACACACACACACACATCCTGACAACTTAGGCTCTTCTTTACCTCTCATGCTCCTCTGCTGCAGCAGACCCCAATATTTCTTTCAGGGCAAGGCGTGTGGCCCCCTTCATTTGCACTGTACCCCTACCCCACCTTAAGAGACTCACTCAGCCCGGCAGACATTTGAGTTTTTAAGCTGCTTATAAGATTTCCAGGTGGGGACTGGGAATATGGCTCAGTGGTAGAGTGCTTGCCTGGCATGCACGGAGCCCTGGGTTCGATTCCTCAGTACCACATACACAGAAAAATCCAGAAGTGGCGCTGTGGCTTAAGTGGTAGAGTGCTAGCCTTGAGCAAAAGAAGCTCAGGGACAGCGCCCAGGCCCTGAGTTCAAGCCCAGGACTGCCAAATAAAATAAAGATTTCTCAGTGCTGGTAGCTCATGCGTGTCATCCTAGCTACTCAGGAAGCTGAGATCTGAGAACTGTGGCTCAAAGCCAGCCCGAGCAGGACAATCTATGAGACTCTAGTCTCCAATTGGCCACCCAAAAGCCAGAAGTAGAGGTGTGGTTTAAGTGGCATAGCACCAACCTTGAGAGAAAAAGCTAAGAAAGAGCATGAGGCCCTAAATTCTAGTCCCAGGAACACATGTATGAACACACACACACACACACACACACACACATACAGAGTAATAGAGTAAATGTGATCAAAATACATTGCACGCATGAATAGAAATGTCAGGATGAAAAACAAAAACAAAAAAAAAAGAAAAAGTAAAAAAAAAAAAAAGAAATGTCAGGATGAAACAAACCCCCTATTATATACAATTTATTATGAGACAATGTTTTTTGTTTTTGTCAGTCATGGGGCTTGAACTCTGGGCCTGGGCACTGTCCCTCAGCTCTTCAGCTCAAGGCTAGCGCTCTACCACTTGAGCCACAGCGCCACTTCTGGCTTTTTCTGCTTATGTGGTGCTGAGGAATCGAACCCAGGGCCTCATGCATGCGAGGCAAGCACTATCCCACTGAGCCACCTTCCCAGCCCACAGTGCCTATCTTAAACAGAACCCATCTTAAGGACACAGGCCTTAATCTGAGTGTATTGATTCTTGTGCCAGTCCTGGGGCTTGAACTCAGGGCCTAGGTGCTGTCCCTTAGCTTTTCCACTCTAGGCTGGTGCTCTACCACTTGAGCCACGCCTCCACATCTTGCTTTTTGCTGGTTCACTAGAATTAGGAATCCCACAGGCTCTCCTAGTTCAGTGTGTGCTGAGTGTATGGATTCTTTTATTCACTCAGCACACATTTCTGCCTCGACCACGACCAGGCTCTGGGCTTGAGTGCAAGTTCCCTTTCAACTGAATTCCATCATAGCTGGAAGTGTGACCTTGAAACTGTGACCTTGGAGCTGGCTTGACTTCTTTGTGCCTCCATGTGTTGTGTTTGTTGTCTGTTCCTGTGCTGTGGGCCATACTGCGATTTGTTTTGTTTTGATTTTTTGATTGGTCGTGGGGCTTGAACTCTGGGCCTGGGCATTGTCCCTGAGCTCTTCAGCTCAAAGCTACCGTTCTACCACTTTGAGCCACAGCTCCACTTCCAGTTTTCTGGTGGTTTATTGGTAATAAGAGTCCCACAGACTTTCCTGCCCAGGCTGGCTTTGAACTGGGATCCTCAGATCTCAGCCTCCTGAGTAGCTAGGATTACAGGTGTGAGCCACTGGCACCCGGCTAACTTTATTTTTTCAGATAGGGTTTTGAGTGTTTACCTGAGGGCTAGCCTCAGACCTCAATCCTCCTATCTTCACATCCTAAGTTAGCCGGGCCTACAGACCTGTGCCACCACACTCAGCTTGCTAGTTGAGGGGGTGAGAAGGGCTGAGAGCATGTCTCACTAACTTTCAGCCCAAGTTAGCCTAGAACCAAGATTCTCTTGATAACCCTGCTTCCCTAAGTAAGCTGGGATTACAGGTGTAAGCTACCTCACCCAGCCTATGCATATAAACACCTGTGTCCAAGAGTTGTGCGGAGCCTATTACTGGATGCATGCAGGTAGTAGAGGCTGGAAGAGCCTGAGTAGCAGGTGGCAGTAGACCTCACTGCCCGGATGGGTGGCCAAGGGAAAGCCACGGGGACATAGAGATGATGGACAACCAGGTCCTTGTGCGAACAGATGGGTGTTACAGTCTTGCCTACCTGAGCCTTGAACTCTGTTGTTCCAGAAGGCAGCATTGTGGGAGGAAGCTAACGGAGACCCGTTCTTCCTTCTCATGAGAAAGCAGTAGCCAGAAGAGAACCAAGGAGGCAGGGGTGGAGGAGGGTGCATTTCTAGTTGTGGATGGAGATCCAACTAAGGTCAGATGACTTTTTTCTTTTCTTTTCTTTTTGCCAGTCCTGAGCTTGAGCTCAGGCCTTGAGCAATGTCCCTGAGCCTTTTTTTTTTTTTTTTTTTTGCTCAAGGCTAATGCTTTACCACTTCAGCCGCTGTACCATGTTAGCTTTTGGGTGATTCATTGGAGATAAGAGTCTCATGGAGGGCTGGGAAAGTGGCTCAGTGGTAGAGTGCTTGCCTCGCATGCATGAAGCCTTGGGTTCAATTCCTCAGTACCACATACACAGAAAAAGCTGGAAGAGGCATCGTGGCTCAAGTAGTAGAGTGCTAGCCTTGAGCAAAAAGCAGCTTAGGGACAGTGCCCAAGCCCTGAGTTCAAGTCCCAGGACTGGCCAAAAGTCTCCTGGACTTTCCTTCCCAGGCTGACTTTGAACAGCCATCCTCAGATCTCAGCCTCCTGAGTAGCTAGGCTTACAGGTGTGAGCCACCGCAGCATGCAATCCTATATATTTTGATGAGCCCTAAGCCAATGGTTGGCATCTTTAGAAGAAGGGGGAAGAAAGCCAGGAGATCAGAGAAACTGAGGTAGGAGCAACGAATCTACAAGCCACCCTGCTTGGCTACTTTTCCCCATGACTGTGTGTACACTTAGCTACCCATGGAAATCGCTTCTTTGCATGTGGATATTCTACAGAATGGCTTTCTGTCTTGGTTGATGGAGATCTATTTTGTTTCATTTGGTGTTTGTTTTGTGCTGGTCCTGGGGCTTGAACTCAGGGCTGGGACATTGTTGTCCCTTTTGCCCAAAGCTGTGGCACTTACTTCTGGCCCAGGATCCTCCCCCTCGACCTTTCAAAGCAAGATCCTTCCTTCCAGGCCCTTTACCCAAGCCTTCACTGTGAGGAGAGCTGACTGCTGAGCATGTTCGGCCTCTGGCAAACCAGCATGACCGAATAGAAGGAGAATGAGAGAGCGAGGTGACCTCATTTCCTCGTTTCCTCCTTCCCTGTCCACAGCATTGCAAAACCCAAAGGGCTCTTAGATTTCCCATTGCCCAATGTCTTGCTGTGGAGAAGAGGAAACAGAAGCCCAGAGAGGGGAGGATACTCACCCAAAGTCACTCAGCAAGTGAGTGACAAGCCAGGGCCTACTCCATTCTGAATGCTCAGCCACTGACATTGTTTTTTTCTTTTTCTTTTTTGCCAGTCCTGGGGCTTGAACTCAGGGCCTAGGCACTGTCCCTGCTCTACCAGTTGAGCCATAGTGCCATTCTCAGCTTTTTCTGTGTTATGTGGTACTGAGGAATCGAACCCAGGGCTTCATGCATGCTAGGCAAGCACTCTACCACTGAGCCACCTTCCCCCCCCCCCCGCCCGGACTGATACTATTTTTCTGTCCAGCTCCTTTGGAGTCCTTCTGCCTGCTGGCTAACACAAATGCAGAGATGGTGTTTAGTGCTTTTGCCAACTCTTGAGCTGTCTCCAGAACTGGGACAGGCAAGCTCTGACAAAGACAAAAATAGGAAAGCCTCAGGAGGCTGAGATCTGAGGATTGCGGTTCACAAGCCAGCCCGGACAGAAAAGCCCATGCAATGCTGTTTGTGTGTGTGTACCATTACTAGAGGTTTTGTCCTCCAGACTAGTGCTCTACCACTTGAGCCACACTGGGACTTCCCGCTTTTTGGTGGTTAATTGCAGATAAAGAGTCTCACAGATTTTCCTGCTGGGACTGGCTTCAAATAGCAATCCTCACATTTCAGCCTCATGAGTAGCCAGGATGATAGCCATGAGCCCCCAGGGCTTCATGAGACCCTAATCTCCAAGTAACCAGCAAAAAAGTTGGACAATAGAGCTGTAGCTCAAAGGGTAGAGAGACAGTTTTGAGCAATACAGCTGAGGAACAGTGCCCAAGTCCTGAATTCCACCCCTAGTACTGTCATAAGAGAGAGAGAGAGAGAAAGAAAGGAAGAAAGAAAGAAAGAAAGAAAGAAAGAAAGAAAGAAAGAAAGAAAGAAAGAAAGAAAGAAAGAAAGAAAGCCGGGCACCAGTAGCTCATGCCTGTAATCCTAGCTACTCAGGAGGCTGAGATCTGAGGATCCCAGTTCAAAGCCAACCCAGGCAGGAAAGTCCATGAGACTCTGATCTCCAATGAACCACCAGAAAACCAGAAGTGGCACTGTGGCTCAAGTGGTAGAGCACTTGCCTTGAGCTGAAGAGTTCTGGGACAGTGCCCAGGCCCAGAGTTCAAGCCCCATGATGGACAGAAAAAGAAAGAAAGAGTGGAAAGTCATATTGGCAAGCCCAACATCTAAGCAGTGAGCCCTGCTCTGGAGGCCTGGGGCTCTGTGGGGCTCTGTGGGTGGACTGGCTGGGCAGATGTACCTGGGGTAGGATGTTTGAGGAAAATGGTCCTCCCCGCCCCCCACCCTGCCCAGGTACCTTTCATCCATCAGTGGATGGCTGCCTGCTTGCCTGATGCTCAAAAATAGGAGCCCCAGAGACCACATCCGCCCCCATTGTGCTGGGGGAAGGGTGGAGTGCAGGTGTTCAGAGAACCGTGGTTCTCCCCATTGGGCAGACTGGGAGCCAGGGTGACCCTAGATTGTGTCATGCATTCATAGAGGGTGCGATCGAATCAAATTCAGACCTTCCTTAGGCCAAACCAGTTCTGCCCATCTTCGAGATTAGGGAAGTCGAAGCCTGTATTTCCGGTCCTCTTATAATCCGTGTCTCTTGTATCTTAGGTATGAATGCTAAACATGTTCTCAACCACCGCCAGAGAGGCTCTGTCTTTCTTCCTGCCCCCCCCCACCCCTTTCCCCTCTCACCCCCTCTCCCCTCCAAAGTCTCCTCCTTTGGGCTCCACCCCTATCTCCTTCCTGCTTCTCCCTCAACCAATGGGGCCTGGGCTGTGATTGGTCAGTTGTGACTCTCTGGGTGCTGAGGCCCCGCCCAGGCCAAGTCCAGACATTGACGGGTCACCTTCTGCACAGAGTGTACCTGAATCCCTGGAGACTGCGGTCACCCCAGCCCCGCAGGCCCAGCCTCTGGGGGGGGGGGTGAATCTGGTATGTCCATGCCTGAGGGAAATGGAAAGAAATTGCTCCACGCCCTGCTGGGAATCTGTGTGTTTCTCAGGACTTGCTTCTTGGCAGCATTTGACACCTCCAGTCTATCTTTGCCTCCAGTATTTTAGGCTGATAACCTAGGGTTTGAACTCAGATCCTTTGCCCTGGCCAGGAAGGTGCTTTACCACTTGAGTCACATCTCCCGTCCTTTTTTTCCCTTTGCTTTAGTTATTTTCTTTCCAATAAGTGTGGGGAGACCAGCCTGGACTGCGATCTTCCTATTTATGTTTGTTTCCCTGATCGTTGGGATGACAGGTTAGCAATGACATGTTAGCTTTTTAGTGGAGATGGGGTCTCCCTATTTGCTCTCACTGGCCTCAAATCCTCCAGATCCCTGCTTCCTGAATAGCCGGGATTACAGGCAGAAGCCACTGTACTCAATTTGACCTCCTGATGTTCCATCTAGAAAGGAAGAGATGATATTGGAAATCGGTTTGCCTCTGGGGGTTTTTAATAACTTTTCCTCAGGCAAGATGAGTGGGTAGAGTTGTTTGGGCTTGTCAGACAAAGGAGGAGTTGGGTGAATGCTCCAGGGCCCTTCAATACTTCATTCAGTTCCTTAATTGAAACAAGAATGACTGGCCAAGCACCTCCAAAATACATGCCAGCCTTGAAGACCCACAAACAGCCATGTCTTGGAAGAAGGATCAGGTCTGGAGTCTGCATGAAAGGCTGAGGCTTCTTCAGGGCCCTCTCTCCTCCCCATCCCCACTTTCGTTCTAGAAAGATTCCCAAGGTGAAGAACTGCTGGACAGCTTCTCTCCACCTTGTTTCTGCTTCATTTGCTTGTTTCATAAGACTGTGAGATATATTTATTGATTGATTTATTATTGTCGGTTGTGGGGCTTGAACTCTGGGCCTAGGCACTGTCCCTTAGCTCTTCAGCTCAAGGCGAGCACTCTATCATTTGAGCCACAGTACCACTACTTCCAGCCTTTCTGTGTATATGGTGCTGAGGAATTGAACCCAGGGCTTCATGCATGCTAGGCAAGCACTCTACCACTAAGCCACATTCCCAGCCTCAATCCTTTGTTTCTTGAGTCCTGTTTACTTTGTCATATCTCCTTGCATGTTGGATTTAACATCCACATATTAGGGAAACCATGTGCCATTTGTCTCTCTGCTCTTGGCTTACCTTGCTCAAAATGATTTGCTCTAGGTCCATCCATTTCCCTGCGAATGCCGTTATTTTATCCTTTTTAATGGCTGCATAATATTCCATTGTATGTAGGTACCACACTTTTGGATCCATTCATCTGTCATGGGGCATCTGGGTTGTTTCCGTATCTTGGCTATTGTGAACAGGGCTGCAATGAACACATGAAACTCTTATCTCCAATTAACTACCAGAAAACCAGAAGTGGCGCTGTGGCTCTAGTGGTAGAGCACTAGCCTTGAGCTGAAGAGCTGAGGGACAGCGCCCAGGCCCAGAGTTCAAGCCCCATGACTGACAAAAAAAACAAACCAAAAAACATGTGAGCATGTTCTGAGGTTCTCATCAAACCCAATCTGAGCTTTTCTAGCTTCTCCATGACTCTGTGTGTGTGTGTGTGTGTGTGTGTGTGTACGTGTGTTCTTCTCAAAACTGGTACTCTGCCACTTGCGCCATACCTCCACTTCCAGCTTCTATTTTGCTGTTTCATTGGAGATAAGAGTCTCACAGACTTTCCTGCCCAGGCTGGCTTTGAACCATGATTCTCAAATCTCAGCCTTCCAAGTAGCTAGGATGACAGGCATGAGCCACACGTACCTCGTTCTGTGTTTTTTGTTTGTTTGTTTAAAGATCTGGGTCTTGACACCTTCCAGAATTCTCCAACTGAAACTCATCGCTGGGCCTCAGGATTATTATGCAGGGACTCGAAGGAGATCCTCCCACTTCACAGATGGGGAAACTGAGATTCAGAGAAGGGAAATGACCTTACCTCAAGTCACATGGAAAAGCTGACCCAGGTTTCTCAGGCCTGGATGCCTGCCAGCTCTTCAGATTACTCGTTTTTTTTTAAAATTTCCGGTGACTCAGGAAGCTGCAAACCCTCTTCAGAGCTCAGTCCGGATGCCCCGCCCCGCCCCACCCCACCCTGGGCTTTTTGTTTTTGTTTTTGGCCAGTCCTGGGTCCTGAGTTCAAACTCAGGGCCTAGGCACTGTTTCTCAGCTTCTTGGCCTCAAGGTTAGCACTCTACCCTTTGAGCTACAGCTCCAATTTCAGCTTTTTGGTTTGGTTTGATTTTGGTTTGGAAGTTAATTCGAGGTAAGAATCTTACAGACTTTCCTGCCCCGGCTGGCTTTGAACTCCAGTCCTCAGATCTCAGCCTCCTAAGTAGCTAGGTGGAGCCTTAAATGCCTAGCTCCTTTATATGCTTTAAAACACACACACACACACACACACACACACACACACACACACAAACATTGGGGCTGGGTAGGTGGCTCAGTGGGATAGTGCTTGCCTCGCATGCATAAGGCCCTGGGTTCGATTCCTCAGCACCACATAAGCAGAAAAAGCCGGAATTGGCACTGTGGTTCAAGTGGTAGAGTGCTAGCATTGAGCTGAAGAGCTGAGGGACACAGCCCAGGCCCAGAGTTCAAACCCCAAGAAACAACAACAACAAAAATAACAAACTTTGTTTGATTATTTGAGATAGGGTCTTGCTGTGTAGCTGAAGCTAGCCTTAAACATGTGATCCTCCTGTCTCAGCCTCCCAAGTATCAGGATTATAGCTGTATGTAGCCATGCCCAACTGTGACCATGTCTTTTTTTGTTTTTGTTTTTTAATGCCAGTAACTCAGTGCCCAGCCTAAGTACCCTCCTGAGCTTTTTTTTTTTTTTGTCAGTCGTGGGTCTTGAACTCTGGCCTTGGGCGCTGTCCCCGTGCTCTTCAGCTCAAGGCGAGCGCTCTACCACTTGAGCCACAGCGCCACTTCTGGTTTTCTAGTGGTTTTTATTGGAGATAAGAGTCTTATGGACTTTCCTGCCCGGGCTGGCTTTGAACCACAATCCTCAGACCTCAGCCTCCTGAGCAGTTAGGATGACAGGCCTGAGCCACCAGCGCCCAGCTCTCCCTGAGCTTTTTATGTTCAAGGCTAGCATGCTGCCACTTGAGCCACACCACCACTTCCAGCATTTTTTTGTTGGTTCATTGGAGATCAGAGGCTCACAGACTTTTCCTGTCCAGGCTGGCCTCAAATCGTGATCCTCAGATCTCAGCCTCCTCTGAGTAGCTAGCATCACAGGAGTGAGCCCAGCAGCGCCTGGCTTGTAAATCATGTCTGAAACCTCTTAGTGCCTCAGTTTCCTCACTTGTAATAACCAGAGGGCCTCACAGTGCTTTCTGAGAGGAGCTCAAAACCTTTTTGGAATCATCTAGTAAAATGACTAGATTCCTATTGACACCTGACAGGGCAGGAAGGGGGGGAGGGGGAAGCGGGGAGGGGAAGGGTTGAGGCTGGAATGCAAGCCTTCTTGCTCCTCTGAAAACATTACCTAGATTCAACAGGTCCCATGAGGGCCAGAGACAAGCATCTGCATTTATCTCCCTCCTTCTTTCAGTCCAGGGTAGAGGAGCTGGCTTAACCTCTCCTCCCAGAGCCTCCCCTCTCCTCCCTCCCAGCCACTGAGAAAATTTGGGGGTACCAGAGGCTCTCAGATTCCTTTACTTTGACACAGACTCACACTTGCCAGGCTCTGGTCCTAGCACTGTGGGGAGGAGGGGGAAGAGCAGATTATTCTAGACTTTTTTTTTTTTTTTGTCGGTTGTGGGGCTTGAACTCTGGGCCTGGGCGCTGTCCCTCAGCTCTTCAGCTCAAGGCGAGTGCTCTACCACTTGAGCTACAGTGCCACTTCCGGTTTTCTGGTGGTTTATTGGAGATAGGAGTCTCACGGTCTCTCCTGCCCGGGCTGGCTTTGAACCATGATCCTCACATCTCAGCCTCCTGAGTAGCTAGGATTACAGGCGTGAGCCACCAGCGCCCAGCTTCTAGGAGACTTTTGTTGTTGGTGGTGGTGGTGGTTGTGGGACTTGAACTCAGGGCCTGGGCGCTGTCCCTAAGCTCTTTTGTGCTCAAGGCTAGCGCTCTTACCGCTTGGAGTCATGGCGTCCCTTCCGGTTTTCTGGTGTGGTTCTTTAGAGATCAGAGTCTCACAGCTGGCTTGGAACTGTAATCCTCAGCTGTCGGCCTCCTGAGTAGCTGAGATTACAGGCGTGAGCCACTGCACCCAGCTTCCCCCCCCCCATCTTTAAGCTGAATATATTCACATTTCCTCAGATGTTTGTGTAGGAAGGAGTTTCTGGTGCATGCTGAATCCCAGTTTCCTGTCATTAAACAGAAGCCACCCTGTGACAGAGTTCAAGCCCAGAAAGTTCTAGCTTGAGCTGCCTCAGCACCCTATGACACTGAAGGGAACTTGGCTAGAAGCTGGGGTAGCCACAGGCCCGGAAGGAGGCTTGGTAACTGAATTAAGGGGTTTGGATGCAGAAGGTCCAGACACATTTAAGGAGAAGGAAGAGAGGGGCAAGGAGAATCCATGGAGGGAAGCTGGAAGCAAGCTGCATGGAGCTGGCCTCGAACTCCTGCTCCAGACATGTTCCCAGGCCACTAGGGATCACGTCAGCCAATGGCAGAGGCACACGGGCCCCGGCAGGGCCTCCCATCACCTTTGAACCCTCACCTCCTGGTCGTCTCCTTTCTTCCAGAGGCACCAAGAAGCCAGCCGGCCACCCCACCCAGAGCCACAGGAACTGAGTCCCCTTCACAAGGATGCGGGTGAGTGTGTAGCCAATCCCGCGGATACCCCCACCGACCGCAGGACCCATCCCATAATGAACAACATTGATAGTGCTACTTACAGAGCTCATGGAAGGGCTGGGAATGTGGCTCAGTGGTAGAGCGCTTGCCCAGCATGCATGAAGTCCTGGGTTCGATTCCTCAGCACCACATGCACAGAAAAAGCTGGAAGTAGTGCTGTGGTTCATGTGGTAGAGTGCTAGCCTTGAGCAAAAGAAGTTCAGGGACACCGCTCAGGCTCTGAGTTCCAACTCTAGGACTGACAAAATAAAGAGAGAGAGCTCATGAAAGCCGAGTTGTAGACACACTTGTAATCCTAGCTACTCAGGAAGCTGAGATATGAGGATCATGGTTCAAAGCCAGCCAGGGCAGGAAAGTCTCTAAGACTCTTCTCTCCAATGAACTTCAAAAAGTTGGAAATGGAGCTATAGCTCAAAGTGGTAGAGTATTAGCCTTGAGCACAAAAACAAAGGGATAGTGTCCTGGCCCTGAGTTTAAGCCCCAGGACTGATGGTAATAATAAAGATAATGATGATGATGATGATAAAGACCGGAGCACCAGTGGCTCATGCCTGTAATTCTAGCAACTTAGAAGGCCAAGATCTGAGGATCATGGTTCGATACCAGCCCAGGTAGGAAAGTCCGTGAGACTCTTACCTCCAATTAACTACCAGAAAACTGGAAGTGGATCTGTAGCTCAAAGTGGTCGAGTACTAGCCTTGAACTAAAAAGCTCAGGGACAGCAATCCAGGCCCTGAGTTCAAGCCCCACAACTGAAAATAAAAACAAAACGAACAAACCAACAAAATAGAATGGTTTTCTCCAAGACTCTGGTGCTCTACTGGGGAAGAAAAATGGAGCTTTGTTCTGGGTGTCCCTGAGCTGAGTACGAGAGTCTGAAGACTGGAGCAGCAGGTAGAGCAAATGTAGCCCAATCTCAAAAGAATGGTTGTGCTGGCTGCTTGCCCACCCTTGGCGCTACCTTATGATAGAAAGAACACCCCGCCCCTCAGGTGTTCTGTTACAGCCAAGAGGCCATGGGTGATAGAAGAGATGAACAAACTGAACCAGAATTGTGAGGTTCACCCATCTGCTATATAGCACAATTACTGAGGACATCAAAGAGACCAAGAGCCTAGGGACCCATCACTGATCACTGAGTGGGAGTGAAGAATCTGTATTATTTTTAGTAAGGTCATAAGTACTTTTATGGATGTGCATGTGCTGGTACCTACTGATGCTTAAACTCAGGGCCTTGTGCATTTTTTTTCTTACCAGTCCTGGGGCTTGAACTCAGGGCCTGGACTTCTTTTGTTTAAAGCTAGTGCTCTACCACTTGAGCCACTTCCAGGTTTTTATGCGTATGAGGTACTGAGGAATCGAACCTGGGGCTTCATGTATAGTAGGCAAGCACTCTACCACTAAGCCATATTCCCAGCCCTGGCCTCATGCTCTTATTGGCCTTTTCTGCTCATTTCTTTTTTTTGTTTTTGTTTTTATGTTGGTCGTGGGGCTTGAACTCTGGGCCTGGGCACTGTCCCAGAACTCTTCAGCTCAAGGCAAGTGCTCTACCACTTGAACCACAGCACCACTTCTGGTTTTCTGGTGGTTCATTGGAGATAAGAATCTAATAGACTTTCCTGTCTAAGCTGGCTTTGAACTGTGATCCTCAGGTCTCAGCCTCCTGAGTAGCTAGGATTACAGGCATGAGCCTCTGGTGCCCAGCTTTTCTGCTCATTTCTGTGTTGCTCTATCACTTAAGCTACACCTCTGACTTTTTGGTAGTTAATTGGAGCTGAGAGTCCCACAGACTTTACTGTCTGGGCTGTCTTCAAACTTTGATGGTCAGATCTCAGCCTTCTGAGAGGCTAGGATTACAAGCATGAGCCTCCAGCACCTGAGTCATTATCTGGATTTAGTTACTACTGTTTTCTGATTGATAGCATAATCTCATTAGTGCAATTATTACCCCCAGTGTCACACATTAGCAGCTCTTGTGGCATACAGCTGGGCATGTCATAGACTCCTTTAGTCTCCATCACTAGGGTCCAACTTGAAGTTTCTCTAAGCCAAGGATATACTTCCAGAAGTGGTCTCCTTCTTGGGCACAGACAGCTCCTGCCTTCAGCTGGGAGATGGCAAAGGTCAGGGGAGGCATAAGAGGTATTCATAGGCCTTCTGTGGCCCTAAAGTATGCATCATAGGTATATTTGGGTGCGCATGCACACCAACGCTGTGGCTTGAACTCAGGGCCTAGTCATATTCTTGCTTTGCTTTTGCACAGCTTTTTGCTAGTTAATTGGAGCTAAGCTTTTTCTGCCCAGGCTTTGACCCATGATCCTCAAATCTCAGCCTCCTGAATAGCTAGGAATCCAGACATGTGCTACCTGTTTTTACGTTCTTATCTCCAGCCACAACTGTCCAGCTGTGTGTGTCGGAGGAAGTCCAACAGCATGAGGCGGACATAGCCAGAATTCTCCAGCAGCATGAAGAAGAGAAGACGAAATGGGCTCAACAGGTAAAGGCCCCTCAATCCCTGGCCAGCTACTTTCCTCTGAGAATTCCAGAGGAGACCCGACTTTGAATTTTGCTGTAAGCATCACTAACCCCTTTTTCCAAGAAGAATTGAATTCTTTTATTTATTTATTTATTTATTGGTGCCAGTCCTGGGGCTTGAACTCAGAGCCTGGGCACTGTCCCTGAGCTCTTCAGCTCAAGGATAGTACTGTACCACTTGAGCCACAGCGCCACTTCCAGTTCTCTGGTGGTTAATTGGGGATAAGAGTCTCACGGACTTTCCTGCCTGGGCTGGATTTGACTGTGATCCTCAGATCTCAGCCTCCTGAGTCGCTAGGATGACAGGCGTGAGCCCTTGTACCCGGCTGTGAGACTCTTTATTTCCAGTGAATCAGTCTGCCTCAACTGAAGTCTTCCCCTCTCTCTGGCCATCTTTCCCCTCATTGAAGGAGGATGGGGGGGGGGGAGGCATTGATCATCAAGCTCTGTATCAGGTGGGGTGTGACACAATGGCTGCCAGGTGCTGTGCAAATCTCCTAAGTCTTACTCCTACTCTGGATGCTTTGCCCCTAGGTAGAGAAGGAGAGGGAGCTAGAGCTTCAAAAGAGGCTGGATGAGCAGCGAAGTGCCATGGAGGAAAAGCATGAAGAAGACCTGCAAGGTAAGGGTAGAGCCCTCTCCCGGGGAGGCCCCGCCTCCTGTGCTACCTGCTGTGGTTACCTGGTCACCTGGGCTATCCTGTGACCCTCTTCTCCCCCTACAAGCAGTCAGCTTTGCCAAACCTGGAGTGTATGTACAGAGTCCTTGGCTCTAAAAGGATGATGGAATTTTCCTTTGGAGTATGACTGTATGAAGGAAGGAAGGAAGGAAGGAGAGCAGAGGAGAGAAAGAGAGAAGGAAGGAATTACATGGTCTTGTGCTATAGTCCAAGCTGTCTTTGAACCTGCATTCCTCCTGCTTCAGCCTCCTGAATGCTGGGATTACAGGTGTGTGTCACTGGGTGGCCGCATGATTTGCTTCATCTTATTAGAAAGAGTTTTTCTTTTGGGGGGGGTTGTTGTTCCCCAGAGAGTGCATTTATAATTTCAGAAATTTAGATATGATCTTAGAAACAGGAAGTCTGCTATAATTTGAATTTATACCATAATTCAAAAGTTTAAGTATGCTAGGCACTGGTGGCTCACACCTGTAATCCTAGCTGCTCTGGAGGCTGAGATCTGAGGATCACAGTTCAAATCCAGCCTGGGCAGGAAAGTCCATGAGACTCTTATCTCCAATGAACTACCGGAAAGCTGGAAGTGGCACTGTGGCTCAAGTGGTAGAATACTCGCCTTGAGATGAAGAGCTCAGGGACAGCGCCCAGGCCCAGAGTTCAAGCCCCCAAAACAACAAACAAACAAACAAATAAATAAAGTATATTTTCTCCATTACTTTTTTGTGTGTGTCCTGGGGCTTGAACTCAGGGCCTGGGCACTGTCACTGAGCTTTTGCTCAAGGATAGCACTCTACCACTTGAGCCACAGAGCCACTTCTGGCCTTTTCTGTTTACAGGGTACTAAGGAATTGAACCCAGGGCTTCATGCATACTAGGCAAGCACTCTACCACTAAGCCACATTCCCAGCCATCCATTATGTCTTAAAAACAAACAATTTGAAAGATCCCGCCAGGTAACTTCAAAAGATGTATCACTACTGGGCACAGTGGCTCAAGGCTGTAATCCTAGCTACTCAGGAGGCTGAGATCTGAGGTTTGTGTTCAAAGCTAGCCTGGGCAGAAAAGTCTTCATGAGACTCTAATCTCCAATTAACCACTCAAAAATCGAAATGGCACTATGGTTGTTCCTCTTCCTCTTTCTTCCCCTCCTTCTTAAAATACTTGAATTTGAGCTCAAGACCTTATACTTGAGAGGCAGGTGCTCTACCACTTGGTCCACTCCTGGAGTCTAGCATTTTGCTGGTTAATTGGAGATCGAGTCTAGAGAACTTTTCTGTCCCAGCTGGCTTTTGTTGTTATTATTGATGGTCATGGGGCCTGAACTCGGCCTGGGCGCTGTCTCTCAGCTCTTCAGCACAAGGCTAGCACTCTACCACTTGAGCCACAGCGCCACTTCCGGCTTTTTCTGCTTATGTGGTGCTGAGGAATTGAACCCAGGGCCTTATGCATGCTAGGCTAGCACTCTACCACTGAGCCATCTTCCTAGTCCATCTTCTCCAGTTGGCTTTGAAACTTAATTCTCCAGAGCTTAGCCTCCTGAGCAGCAAGAATTACAGAAATGAGCCACCCTGTCTGGGTTTGGCTTTGAACTCTTGACCCTCCTAGCCTCACAGGTGTGAACCACCACACCTGCTCCATTGTGGTTTTGATTTGCAGTTCTCTAATGACTCAGTTGTTAAGCATCTTTTTTTAACAAGCTTGTTGGGAATTTGTATAGCTTCTTTTGGGATGGGATAGAGAGATGATACATGGATGATAAATAGATGATAGATAGAGATAATATTGAAATCAACCTTGAAAATGCTATATTGATTTTTCCTCCTCATCATTTGGTTGATCTTTCCTCAGAAATCACTTTTCTAAAAACACACTTGTGGCCCATGCTGGTGGCTCACACCTGTAATCCTAGCTACTCTGGAGGCTAAGATCTGAGGATCGCAGTTCAAAGCCAGCCAGGGCAGGAAAGTCCATGAAACACTTATCTCCAAGAAACTACTCAGAAAAAGCCCGAAGTGGTGCTGTGGCTCAAGTGGTAGAACACTAACTGGCTTTGAGCAAAATAAGCTCAGGGACAAAACCAAAGAAATAAACAAACAAACCCACAAATGTGCTTATGATCATTTTGTAGAGATTTCCAACAGGCAACAAAAAGGATTAACATGCTATTCTTTTCTTTTAAATTGTATCAAACTTGTTTCCAAGTATGTGGCCACAAGCGTGCTAATAAAGGCAAGCCTTCTAAGCCACACCTCACCCCTTCTTGAGTCCTGTGAGTCTAAATGTTTACATTTTAGCTATTATGAATAGCATTGTATTTCACATGAGATCAAGTCCCTGAAACTAATTAGAACAGAGGTCTGAACTATTAGAAGAATCTTGAAACATATTGCCACATGAGCACAAAACATTTTGAAATAGAACTGAAATCCTTACTGGGACCTTGAAGGACTGTATTTTAATTACTAATACATCCTGTTGAAACTGCTGATCAGCCTGGTGCTGGTGGCTCATGCCTGTCATCCTAGCTACTTAGGAGGTTGAGATCTGAGGATCGAGGTTTGAAGCCAGCCCAGGCAAGAAAGTTCATGAGACTCTTACCTCCAATGAACCACACACACACATACACACACACACACACACACACACACCAGAAGTGTGTGGAATAGATGAATGAAATCATAGCTTGGAATAACCTTTGTTATCTTTTCTAGGTTTTGTTTTTATTTTCTATGGCTCAATTATGTCACCAGGAAATTGATTTTCTATGTACAGCATTATTTATATAGTCAGCCATCCTTGCAATCAGGATCTAAAACAGTTGACCGTGCCCCCAAATTTTTGCTGCTTGTTTTGGCTGATGCTCTATGGCTTGAGCTATATCTCCAGATTGACATTTTGCTGGTCATTTTGGAGATGGAACCTCACAAACTTTTCTGCCAAGGCTGGCATCTTACCATGATCCTCTGGATCTCAGACTCCTGAGTAGGTCGAATGACAGGCTTGAGCCACCAGCACCTGGCTCATAAATATGACTTTTTATATTGGCTTCTTTTTCTCAGGTGATGCATCTGAGATTCAAGTTGTTGTCTAGCGCAGTGATGGACTGTTTCTCATTGCTGTGTATTTACTCACTTGCTTAGTGCAGTTCTTTGGAAGAGTTCCCAGCTTGAGGTGATTAGGAATAGAGCTATTCTAGTTTGTAATGTACAAGTTTGTGTGTGGACATTAATGTTCATTTCTCTGGGAAAAACACATAGCAGAGAATAACTCATGTAATACGGCATGGATATCTTCTTAAAAAACAACTGAATCACCAGGTGCTGGTGGCTCATGCCTGTAATCCTAGCTACTCAGGAGGCTGAGAGTTGAAGGATTGTGGTTCAAAGCCAGCCAGCAGGCAGGAAAGTCCGTGAAACTCTGATCTCCAGGGAACCACCAGAAAACCAGAAGTGGTGCTGTGGCTCAAGTGGTAGAGTGCTAGCCTTGAGCTGAAGAGCTCAGGGACAGTACCCAGGCCCAGAGTTCAAGCCCCATGACCAAGCAATAAATAAATAAATAAATAAATAACGGAATCATTTTCCAGAGTGTCTACTGCCTAACACCAGCAAGGATAAATCTCTTCACTCTGCCAACTTTGTTTTATTGTTGTAGTTGTTGAGTGTGTGTGTGTGTGTGTGTAGGTCCTGGAGCTTGAACTCAGGGCCTGAGCACTGTCCCTTACCTTTTTTTGCTCAAGGCTAGCACTCAACCACTTAAGCCACAGTACCACTTCCAGTCTTGCTGGTTAATTGGAAATAAAGAGTCTCACGTACTTTCCTGCCTGGGCTTGCTTTAAACCACAACCCTCAGATCTCAGCCTTCTGAGTGGCTAGGTCTATACCAGTACCTGGCTCCATAAGCTTTTGTGTGTGTGTGTGTGTGTGCACGTGCGCGTGCGTGCATATGTGCACGTGCATGTGCTTCCAGTACTACAGATTGAACTCCTCTCACTTTCAGGTACTGTTTTGTTGTTGTTGTTTTTCAGATAAAGTAACACTTATTCCCTGGCTGGCTTTGGATTATGATCTTTCTACCTCCATCTCCTAAATATCTGGGATAACAGACCTCAACCACCACATCAGGCTTATTGCTAGAAATGGAGGCTCTACCTTTTTTGTTTTTTTACCCTCATCTTGAACCTTGATTCTCCCATCTCTACCTCCTGTATAGCTGGGATTGCAGGCATGTGCCACCACACTAAGCTAATACTTGGGATATTTTTTTTTTTGGCACAGCTTCTAAAACAAGCCTAGGAGATCAAAAGGTTGATATGACTGTGCCTGATTCCTGGTCCTTAGGGATCCTTTTCTAGTCCTTAGGGAACTTTCCAGAAGGCTTGGGAGGAAAAGAACCTGAGCTTATGGAGGTCTCCTTTCCCCTACAGTCCTCCGGGCCTCCTATGAGAAGGAGAAAGAAGCCTTTACCCACTCCTTCCAGGAGGCCAAAGCTGCCCTTCAGGTGAGAAAGGCTGGGCCATAGCCGTGTCCGGTGTGGGTAGGGAAGAATGGAAGGGAATCCAGGTAAAGCTGATGGCCTTGGGGAATGAGGGGCCTTCCATGTGTTCAAGCCCCTGGCCGTGGGGACCTCATGTTAGCTTGTAAGGACATGAGCTTTGCCATCAGGTTGGCCTACAGACCCAAGGACTGCTGGTAGATGCCCAGTGCTTTGTGAAAGCATAAAAGCAGATGCAGCTGGGCGCCAGTGGCTCATGCCTGTAATCCTAGCTACTCAGGAGGCTGAGATCTGAGTGGTTCAAAGCCAGCCTGGGCAAGAAAGTAGTCCATGAGACTCTTATCTCCAATAAACCACAAGAAAACCGGAAGTGCCACTGTGGCTCAAGTGGTAAAGTGTTCACCTTGAGCTGAAGAGCTGAAGGACAGCGCCCAAGCCCAGAGTTCAAGCCCCATGAGTGACAATAAAAAGCAGATGCTTAACCCAATGTGCCTGCTCCGCAGAGAATTGGAGTGAGGTGGGGATCCGAACTGGGGCTTGACAGATGGATTAGAAATCTCAGGACAGGCAGGGTCTGCTGAGGAGATGAATGCACTTTGTACAAAAAGCATGGTAGAGGGGTTGGGAAGGTGGCATGCTTTGCATGCATGAGGCCCTGGGTTCGATTCCTCAGCACCACATAAGCAGAAAAAGCCAGAAGTGATGCCATGATTCAAATGGTAGAGCCCTAGCCTTGAGCTGAAGAGTTGGGGGACAGCGCCCAGGCCCAGAGTTTAGGCCCCACAACTGACCAAAAAAAGCCTGGTGGAGGCTGGGCTCTGGAGGTTCACGCCAATAATCTTGGCTACTCAGGAGGCTGAGATCTGAAGATTACCATTCAAAGCCAGCCAGCCTGGGTAGAAAAGTCCATAAGACTTATTTTCAATTAGCCAGGAAAAGTCAGAAATGTTAGTGTGGTTCAAGGGGTAGAGCACTACTGTGGAGTCCAAAAGCTAAGGGGTAAGCACGGAGGGCCCTGAAATCAAACCCCAGTACCAGCATTAAACAAACAAAAAAACAAAAAAACAAAACCATGCACCTTGCTTTAGGCAGTGACCTGTTTGGCCGCTGTTAGCAGCAGACACTGGCAAAGTTCACTGGGTCTGGCATGGAAGGGCTTTGAATGCCAGGCTAACACTGGCCTTTGCGCACCAAGACCCCATCCTCCTAAGGATCTAGGGGACCTTCAGAGGTAGGGTTGGGATGTTTGACTCTGGTTGAAGTGAGGGCAAACCTGAATGGTTGTGTAGGGTAGACCAGATGCACTGAAATGTGTTTTTCCGTGCTGTCCACCTTGATGAACCAGGCTCTGGCCACTTCCCTCCTCCTGTCTCCTTCTCCAGGACACCATAGCCAGACTAACCTCACAGCTGGAGGCCTTTCAGGCCAAGATGAAGAGGGTAGAGGAGTCCATTCTAAGCCGGGACTATAAGAAGTACATCCAGGTAGGGGGTTGAATAAACCTGCAGGCCTGTCCTCCTTGGAGATCCTGGGAAGTCAAGTCTTCCTTGAAGTCCAAGCTTCCACCTGTTATTCTGGCCTTCCCAGGGGCTTAGAAGCAAGATGGTCCTCGTTCTGTTGGAGGGGGAGGGGGTAAAGGAGTAGATACGGCTCAGAGAGAGGCATGTGAGCTAGGAATAGTCACAGCTTCTCTTGGTTCAGACAGAAACTAAGCACAAATAGCAAACCTACCGCTTAGCTTGGACTAAGCAGCTGAGCTACAGAGTCCTCACTGTGACGATGCCAGGGCCTACTTAAAGGACTTTGGGAACCGAAAGCATAGTAACTGGGCGTGGTGGCTCACGCCTGTAATCCCAGCTACTCAGGAAGCTGAGTATCTCGATTTGAAACCAACTTAATGGAAAAATCTGTGAGATGGTGAGACTCTTATCTCCAAAAAAACCGAAAAAAAAATGTGGAGCTGTGGCTCAAGTAATAGAGCACCACTCTTGAATGAAAAAAACTAAGTGATAGCACCCAGGCCCTGAGTATAAGCCTTAGTACCAGCACACACACACACACACACATCCACAATGGCAAAGCATAGTGAGGAAGATTACTTGTATGCATCCAACACTATGGAAGGATGGCCATGCCCTTTGTCTACCTGCCGGCCTTATGAGGTCCCTCTGTGTCTCTGTCTAGGATTATGGGAGCCCCAGCCCATTCTGGGAACAAGAGGTGGAGAGCTTGCACTTTGTCATCGAGATGAAGAATGAGCGGATTCATGAGCTAGACAAGCGGCTGATGCTCATGGAAACAGTGGTCTGTGGCTGGGAGTGAGTGGCTGGGGGGAGGGGCTGGGGGAGGGGGATGAACATCTCCTTTGTAAAGTGTGTAGAGTGGCCCCGAGCTGGGTCCACAGCAACCTGAAACTGCCAACCGAGCCATGCAGAGCATCTAAGCTGATCTGTGACTGGTGTGGGTCAGGCAGTCAGAAGCCACCTTGTCATCTAGATCCAGAGCTTTCCTTGGCTGCTCCTGCCATGCTGAGGGAGGGGGCCTGACCCCGCTAATCTGGGGCAGCTAGCGGGTGACATATGAGAGGCAGAGACTGAGGAAAGAGGTGAGGTTGAAAGACCAAGCAGGTATAGGGGGCTGAGGGCACTGAGGATCTGGTGACTTTGTCTCCAGGAGAACAAAGTTCTCAGCACCCAAGGGTAGAATCCAAACAGATTGTGTCACTGTGGATGGAGTCTTCTGCTCTGCTGCTGTGTGCCATAGAACTTCAAACGATCTCCAATGTTCCCCATAAGGTGTGTGTGTGTGTGTGTGTGTGTGTGTGTGTCTGTGTGTGTGTGTGTGTGTGTGTGTGTGTGTGTGTGTGTTGTTCGGTTTTTGGCTTTTTGTGTTTTGTGTTCTTTATTTCTTTCTTTATTTTTGGGTCCGGTCGTGGGGCCTGAACTCTGGGCCGGGGTGCTGTCCCTCAGCTCTTCAGTTCAACGCTAGCACTCTACCACCTGAGCCACAGCATCACTTCCGGTTTTTTTTTTCATTTTGCTTATGTGGTGCTGAGGAATCGAACCCAGGGCCTCGAGCATGCAGGCAAGCACTCTACCACTGAGCCACCTTCCCAGCCACTTGTGTTTTCTTTATTTTTTTTCCTTTCTTCCTTCCTTTCTTTCTTTTTTTCTTCCTTCCTTCCTTGTCAGTTGTATGGCTTGAACTCAAGGCCTGGGTGCTGTCCCTGAGATTTTGTGCTCAAGGGTAGTACTCTATCACTTACAGCCACAGCTCTACTTCCAGTTTTCTGATGTTTATTTGGAGATCAGAGTCTCATGGACTTTCCTGCCTCAGGCTTGACTCTAACCACAATCCTCAGATCTCAGCCTCCTGAGTAACTAGGATTACAGGCATGAGCACCTGATTCTCTCTCTCTCTCTCTCTCTCTCTCTCTGTCTGTATGTCTGTATGTGCTGATACTAGGGCTTAAACTAAGGGCTTTAATCACTTCTTTCCTTTTTTGTTCAGGATTTATGTCCTACCACTTGAGCCACAGCTCCACTTCTGGCTTTTTGCTGGTTAATTGGAAATAAGAATCCGAAGGCCTTTTCTGCCCTGGGAGGCTTTGAATCACAATCCTCAGATCTCAGCCTCCTGAGTAAGCTAGGATTACAGGCAGGAGCCACCAACACCTTAAAAAAATTTTTTTTCTCCTATAACGAAACGAAAAGTTTGCAGTCATAATAACTCTTTAGTTTTCTTTTTAGGTTATCTGAATTCTCCATGAAATGTAACATCTAGTCTAGGAGGAATTTTGTGTCCAGGGCCCACAGATAAAAAGAGAGGTGTCGCACACACTGTGCTATGGGGGTTGAATAGCTTTCTGAGCTCATGCTGGTTTGTTGCAGAAAGAAAAAAATCTGATGTTAGAAGAAAAAATCACCACTCTGCAGCAAGAGAATGAAGATCTCCACGTCCGAGCTCGGAACCAGGCAATGGTGTCAAGGTAGCTGCCATTCCAAACCCCACCTCCACCCCTGATCTTCCTCCCCACCCCCCACCTCTGTTGCCAAAATCTCCAGCTGGGAGTATCTCAGAAGGGTCAGAGATAACAGAAGGGACCAGGTCTTTCTAAGACCTAACATAATGCCAGTCACTGGTGGCTCACGCTTGTAATCCTAGCTACTCAGGAGGCTGAGATCTGAGGATCACAGTTTAAAGCCAGCCCAGGCAGGAAAACCATGAGACTCATATCTCCAGTTAACCATCAGAAATCCAGAAGTGACTCTATGGCTCAAGTTGTAGAGCTCTCACCTTGAGCTGAAAAGCTCAGAGACAGCATCCAGGCCCAGAGTTCAAGCCCCATGACTGACCAAAAAAAAAAAAAAAAAGCTAGCTAACCTGAAAGAGTTAGTTAGTGCTTGTTCCAGAATTTGAATGGCATCCAAGCAAAAAGGGGGAGGGATTCTGGAGAAATCTCAGGAAGACTTTTAAGGGAACCCTCTCCTATCCCTCATACCCAGTATACAACCCCGAACTTGTCTATCTCCACAGGCAGCTCTCAGAAGATCTGCTTCTAGCCCACCAGGCCCTGGAGGAAGAGACACGGATCAGGCGACAACTAGAACAAGAGAAGGAGGAGCTGGTGTACCGGGTTCTGGGGGCTGATGCGCCATCTACCTACCCCCGGGCCTCTGTTACCCCCACAGAAATCTCCTTCCTCGCCACCTAGCAGGCAGGCCATGATACCTGTGGCCATGCAACTTCCTTCCAAAGAGAAGACAGTGGGGCCTGTCAGCTTTTTTCTCAGGAAGGAGTGGGACAGGGTGTACAGGGGAATCTGGGAATAAGCATACCCAAGGAGCCTTGGGAGCCTGGGGTCACAGGAAACCACCTCTGGGGGGAGCTCATCCAGTTGTCCCAGGGAACAAGCAAGAAGAGCCTTTTCCTCCCAGCCCCCTCTCGCTGCCCAAATCAGGTCGTTCTGAAGTCAACCCTGCACCTGACAAAGAGGCGACAACCCCAGCTCCAGCTTGTCAGCTTGGCTGTCTATGTGCCAGCTTGTCAGTTTCCTCTCAGCCTCAGTTTACCCCTGCTCTAAGAGAGTTGAGGTTGACTGTCCAATGACTCAAGTCACTCCAGGATCTTCTGAAGATCAGCCTGGGAGTGAGAGGGGGGAGTTCCACATCCTGGGCCTCAGAATAGAAAGGTGAGTGACAGAGAGGCCGTCCCTTGCAGCCATTCCAGCCTGGAACCACTCTGGATGCCAGATTGGTCAGCTCAGGGGGCAGTAGCCACGCCCCCACTGCCTGCGCCAGGTCTGGATTGGCCCCCAACCTTCTGACTCCTCCAGTCTTAGTGACAGCTGGACTCAGGGGCCACATTAGTGGGATGGAGAACTCTCAACAGGCTGAGCTGAAATCTCATCTTTGTGCAGATAAGGAGAGCAGAGTACAGACTCTACCAAGTCAAGACCAGGGCCTCCTCTGCCCTACTGGTCTTCTCCCTCTGCTTATTTTCTTCCAGGCCCTGGGAAGGTCAATCTGACCTAGTCTTTGTCCACCTTACTCCACCTACCAGCCTGCCCTGTAGTCTTTGTCCTACCCTTATTCAGTGCCTTCTTCTCCTCCAGCCACCTGACCTCAGGGCCCTGGACCCTGGGCTCTCAGCTTCTCTCCATCAGTGAATAGGGATGGTGGCAGTGGCTGACCTCTCAGTCTGTGGATTTCAGATCCTTCTCAGGAACTTCAGGTCAGCTGGAGACTGTAATTACCCTTCCTCCTGCCCAGAGCATTGTCATCCATGGTGGCTCACGCCTGTAATCCTAGCTACTCAGGAAGCTGAGATCTGAGGATCGGGGTTTACAGCCAGCCCAGGAAGAAAGTTGTGGAGACTCTGACGTCCAATTAACCAGCAAAAAAGACAGAAATAAGGGTTGGGAATGTGGCTTAGTGGTCCAGTGCTTACCTAGCATGCATGAAGCCCTAGGTTCGATTCCTCAGCACCACATAAACAGAAAAATATGGAAGTGGCACCGTGGCTCAAGTGGTAGAGTGCTAGCCTTGAGCAAAAAGCTCAGGAACAGTGCTTAGGCCCTGAGTTCAAGCCACAGAACTCCAGAATGCTTGGCCACAATAATTCTGAGCTTCCACCTAAACAAAAAAAAAAGATAGAACTAGAAATGTGGCTAAAGTGGTAGAGCACCAGCTTTGAGCAAAAGAACTCAGCACCCCGGCCCTGAGTTTCAAGCCTTAGTACCAGCACACACACACACACACACACACACACACGTTAAATTCATTTAAGACTTGCTGGGCTTCTCTGGACCTTTCAAATGCTCATGTGCTTTGCAGATTTTCAAAAAGAGAACAAATTGGCCAAGCTGCTACTCTCCCGCTCCTACCCCACCATCGAAGCACTTCAGGCTACAGAGCAAAGTTTAGACAGCATCCTTTTCATTGAGAAAGGCAGAGCTGGCAAAGGGGCAACTGTAGCAAGCTGGGGTTTCCTTCATGTACCCTGTGGTGAGTGGGGTAGAGATAAACTGTGGCCATACCCTTACTCGCTATGGAACTTGGAAGAATGAGTGGCATCTTATTTATTTGGTGTCTTGTTTTCCTGAAAGAGGGAAAGGAGTGGGTTTTCAGTGAGGACCTTGCCTGCTGATGCAGTATAGGGGGCTCTGGTTCGTCTCTCCACTGATTAAAGAATAAAAGGCAGAAAACCCGGGCACTGATGGCTCACACTTGTAATCCTAGCTACTTAAGAGGCTGTGATCTGAGGATGGAAGTTCAAAGCCAGCCTGGGCAGGAAAGTCTGTTGAGACTCATATTGCCAATAAACCACCAAAAGGCCAGAAGGGGAGCTACAGCTCAAGTGGTAGAGCAGTAGCTTGAACAAAGAAGCTCAGTGACAGAGCCCAGACCCCGAGTTCAAGCCCCAGGATCAGCACTTACATTCACGCATGCGCGCACGTACCCCCCCCTCCACACACACACAGGGCAGGAGAGCTTTCGAAGCCATCAGCAGGTTTATTTGAAAGCAAAAGTATAGACTCCATAGAGTGGGCCTGCGCTGGGAGGGTGCTTATAATAGTCCATACCTTCTCCTAGGGTTTGTGCTGATTGATGATGGCGCGTGTGTGTGCTGTCGCAGCGATTCTCGTTGACTGTGCCAGAACCCAGGGCATTATGGGAAGAGGCAGTACTGGAGCGGGAACCCAGGGCATTATGGGAAGAGGCAGTACTGGAGCGGGAACCCGGGGCATTATGGGAAGGAGTGTTGAAGCGGGAAACCAGGGCATTGTGGGATGGAATGTTGAAGCGTGAACCCAGAGAATTGTGGGAAGAAGCAGCTTTGAAGTGGGAATCCAGGGCATTATGGGAAAAAGCAGCATTGTGGGGGGAAAAAAACCCACAGCATTATGGGAAGGAGTGTTGAAGTGTGAACCCAGGGCATTATGGGAAGAAGTCGCTTTGAAGCAGGAACCCAGGGCATTGTGGGAAAAAGCAGCATTACGGGGGGGGGGGGGTAAACCCACAGCATTATGGGAAGGAGTGTTGAAATGTGAACCCAGGGCATTGTGGGAAGCAGCATTGGAGCCAGAACCCACGGTATTATGGGAAGGAGTGTTGAAGCGGGAACCCAGGGCATTGTGGGAAGAAGCAGCTTTGAGGCGGGAACCCAGGGCATTGTGGGAAGAAGCAGCTTTGAAGCGGGAACCCAGGGCATTGTGGGAAGAAGCAGCTTTGAAGTCGGAACCCAGGGCATTATGGGAAGAAGCAGCATTGGTGCCAGCACCCAGAGCATTATGGGAAGGAATGTTGAAGCGGGAACCCATGGTATTATGGGAAGGAGTGTTGAAGCGGGAACCCAGGGCATTGTGGGAAGAAGCAGCTTTGAAGCGGGAACCCAGAGCATTATGGGGAGAAGAAGCACCCTCACGGACCATATGTTACCTGTCACAGGTATGTCCGCCATTTTCCATCTCTACCTAACCAAGGAAGCCTAACTCCTCCCTCATTGGGAGCAGGAATCTTGAAGAGACCCTGAGCCCTGGGCTTGTTGTGATGCCCCCACCTTGGAGCTGGGGCCTGGGGTTCGGGTGGATGGAGCTGGGGCCTGGGGTTCGGGTGGATGGAGCTGGGGCCTGGGGTTCGGGTGGATGGAGCTGAGGGTGAAGCAAATGAAGTGGGGGCACAGGGAGCGCGGACCAGGTGTTTTGTGCTAGGAAGGCGGATTGCTTAGCCACAATAACGCTGAGCTTCCATACTGAAAGCCTGCAGCCAGGGAAGGAGCTATTGAGGGGTAGGGGAGCCTTGAGGGCGTTGGGTCACTCGGACATGTGTGGTGACAGATCCTGTGCCCTGAAGGTTGGTGGCTCTGCAAGTGTAGAAGCCAGAATCCCCGGCCCGAGCCTCTTCCACATACAGGGTGCTCTCCGCCTCCCGCTGCACCTGGCCCTCCCTGTGGACCACAGCAACCCGCTTGCTGGTGTAGGGGGGTCGGCCCTGCTGCGGGGAACAAGAAGGAACTGTTAGTGAGCCCAGGTGCCATCTCTCAAGTACCAGTCAGCAGGCAAGAGGTACTCAGTACCCCTTCAGAGAAAGGGATACACTGTATGTCAGACCCATCTTAAAGCCTTCAAGCTTCATAAGTCCCTTCTATTCAAGAAATACTGGGTTGGGGGAAGACTGGGAATGTGGCTTAGTGGTAGAGTGCTTGCCTAGCATGCATGAAGTGCTGGGTTCAATTCCTCTGTACCACGTATACACAAAAAGCTGGAAGTGGCGCTGTGGCTCAAGTGGTAGAGTGCTAGCCTTGAGCAAAAGAAGCTCAGGGACAGTGCCCAGGCCCTGAGTTCAAGCCCCAGGACTGGACCAAAAAAAAGAAGAAAGAAAGAAATATAGTCTCACACGTATAATCCTAACTACTCAGGAGACTGAGATCTGCTTATGTGGTGCTGAAGAATTGAACCCAGGGCCTCATGCATGCTAGGCAAGCACTCTACCACTGAGCCACCTTCCCAGTCCCATTGAGATCTGAAGTTTAAAACCAGTGAGAGCAGATAAATCCAACCAATTCTTACCTCCAATGAGCCAAGAGGTGTGGCTTAAGCCAGCCTTCAGAGACAAAGTCAAGTGAGAACTTGAGGTCCTAAGTTCAAGTATTGGTGCACACACAAAGAGGCTCCAAGTCAAGTGCTGGTGGCTCATGCTTGTAATTCTAGCTACTCAGGAGATCTGAGGTTCAAAGCCAGCCCCAGCAGGAAAGTCTGTGGGATTTTTTTTAATCTCCAATTAACCACCAGAAAACCCGAAGTGGTGCTGTGGTTCAATGTGGTAGAGCACCAACCTTCAGCGAAAAACAGGGATAAACACCCAGCCCTGTGACCAACAAAGACCAGGATCAACAAAAGAAGAAGAAAAAGAGCAGGAGGAGGAAGAGGAAGGTGGGGGGAGGAGAAGGAAGAGTTCCAGAGGTAATGGCTCAGAACAGCATTTCCTGGTTTGTGGGAATGTCATTAAGTGCTACAACCCCAAAGGAGTTTAAGTATGAATTCCATTATTAGAAATACTTGGGAAATACATCATAGATGGGAAATACACAGGAGATAGGAAGCAGACTCTAGGTGTTCAGTGAGCATGCATGTTTTGACTCCCACCTGGGTGGTGCTTCTTATAGGAGTGTTTTCCCAAGAGTATACTTCTGGGTAATGGAGCAGGATGGGAGAGAATCTTTGGATATTTTTTTTTTCGGTCATGGGGCTTGAACTCTGGGCCTGGGCACTGTCCCTCAGCTCTTCAGATCAAGGCTAGTGCTCTACCACTTGAGCCACAGCACCACTTCAGGCTTTTTCTGCTTCTGTGGTGCTGAGGAATCGAACCCAGGTCCTCATGCATGCGAGGCAAGCACTCTACCACTGAGCCATCTTCCCAGCCAGAACCTTTGGATATTCTGCCACTCTCAGGCACAGGCAGCTTAACCAACACACCATCTTGGTATGTTTCTCCTTATTCCTCATTTTTCTGACAAGTGGGAGGATGATCCTCCACACTTTCTGCCTCCTACAGCCTCATCTCTCTATGTCTTGGCTGGGCCATGACTGGGCCAGTCACTGCATGGATCAGCTTGGGGAGTTCATGATGCACTTGGCTGGCTCACAGAGAGTAGAAGCCACACCCCCTTTTGACTCATTACTTTAGTTTCAGCACCAACTACAGTGGCTCATGGCAGGTGCTCAATAATTATTGAATAAATTCCTAACTGGATACATGTATACATTCTTTGTCAGTGAACTGAAAAGTAGTTCTATTTGACAGATGAGGAAACAGAGAGCCAAATAAAAAAACAAAAAACAACCCCAAAAAAGAGAGAGAGAAGCAGTGTCAGAGTGGAGACTAGAAGTCACATTCAATGGATTCTAGTCAAGCAGTGGATTTATTCTGCAATGATTGCTTTTAGCTTTCCTCCCAATCCCCCATTCCCACCTCACTCCAGTCCCGACCACCATATATGCATACACACACCCAGTCTCCTCTTATTGTCTACTTACCTTCTGCCCCGGATATTCCCAGCTGAAGTCCATAGCAATCTCTGGCTCACCCAGAACTGTGCAGGTCACATTGAAGTTGTCTCCCAGTTGGACTGATGTGGTTGAAGCTAGGATGGTGGGTTTGGGGGAGGAAGATGGGTCTACCATGGATAACAGGAGAGAGATGGGGACAGACATATGACAAGTGGTCAGGATGGTTAAATGGATGGCAAGTAAATGGATGAAGAGATGGATTCATGCGAGGTGTGGTCAAACAGAATTAAACAAATGGATGGCGTGTTTTAATGGCGGAATAGTTAGATGGTTGAACTGATCAAGGATGTTCGAATGGGGATAAATGAAGGATGGAAAATTTTTTTGGGGGGCAAGGCCAATTTGGCATACAATGATAGCTGGTATTGATAGTTATTGATTGATTGATTGCCAGTCCTGGGCTTGAACTCAGGACCTGGCCTCTGTTCCTGAGCCTCTCTGTGCTCAAGGCTAGCGCTCTATCACTTCAGCCACAGCGCCACTTCTGGCTTTTCCTGTTTATGTGGTACTGAGGAATCAAACTCAGGGCTTAATGCGTGCTAGGCAAGCACTCTACCACTAAGCCACCTTCCAGGCCCTGGTATTGATATGTATGTTGGTATGAAAATTCCTAGATTTATTGAATTTCAAGTCCTACCTCCAGGTGTTTTGGTAAGGCCTGGTCAAATGATGTCTCTATCTAGGGCCCACAGGCTGGACATTTCCACCCCCCTCCCCACTCCTGAAAGAATTAATGGAGCCTAGATGAATGAGTAGATGGTTGCACGGGAGAAAGTGAATGGATGAAGGGCTTGATTGACAAGGATGGTTTGCTTTGACTGAGAATACATGGATGGAAAGGTTGAATTGATGCAGGCTAGCTGGATGGCTGATGGGCTGGCTGTTGTACAGAACCATAGAGATCTCTAAAATGGCTCGTTACACAGAGCATAATTAAATCCATTGAGTTGATGCACATACCCCAGATTCAAAGTACCTAAGGAAATGTCCCTCTCCACATCCTCCCCTTCCTCACCCCGTCCCCCAAACCCCAGGCCCACGTACAGTTGACGTAGATGAGCATGTACTTGGTAGAGATTTGTCTCAGGCCACCTAGGCTGGCCAAGCAGAAGAGGGAGCCAGCCAAAGAAGCTTGGGGCCGGTGGATGGTGAAGCCTTTCTTCACATCAAAGGAGATGTCCGTCCCATCCACTGGGATTTCTTCAGGGGGGAATTCCCGATGCAGAGTCACCCGGGCCAGGGGGTTGGTCACCTGACAGGGAAGCAGGGCAGGCTGATGAGTGCGTAGCTGCACCACCTGATAATAATCCTCAGTGGGCACAAAGAGCTCCTCTGGGTCTGGGAATGAGGGAGAGAGAAGAATTAAGCTTGCAACAGATTCGTGACTTCCTGATGCTCTAGCACCACCCATCTCCTTAGCGGGCCTTGAAAACTGTCTTTCTCTGTCTACCTTATTCTCCAAGCTCTCCTCCTCCTCCTCTTCCTGCTCCTCTTCCTTCTACTCCTCCTCCTCCCTGTCCTCCTCCTTGTCCTTCTCCTCTTCTTTCTCTTCTTCTTCTCCCTCCTCTTCCTCATCCTCCTTTTCTTGGTGACAGTCCTGGGGCTTGAACTCAAGGCCTAGGCACTGTCCCTCAGCTTTTGTGCTCAAGGTTAGTGCTCTACTACTTTGAACCACGACACCATCTCCAGCTTATTTGGTAGTTAATGGGAGAGAAGAGTCTCACGGACTTTCCTGTCCAGGCTGCTTTGGAATTACAGTCCTTAGATCTCTGCTTTCTGAGTAGCTAGGATTACGGATGTGAGCCATTGATGATACCTGGCACTCTTTCCTGTCTTACAAGGGGTGCTGAAGACAAGCCTACTAGCTGCTATTTCCACATCTGTCTTCAGCTTGCTGTGTGTATGCTTGTGTCTGTGTCTCTGTATGTGCATATGCCTGTAGGTACTAGGACTTGAACTCAGGGCCTGGGCTCTGTCCCTTAGCTTTTTAGCTCAAGGCTGGCACTCTACCATTTAAATTACAACTCTACTTTTAGCTTTTTGCTGAGTAGTGATATCTGTCAGATTTGTCTATTGAGTCTGGCTTCAAACCATGATCTTCAGATCTTAGCCATCTGAGTCATTAGAATTACAGGTTTGCACTACCAGTGCCTACTGCCATAGTAGTTTGCTTCCTTTCTGTTAATCTTAAGAGAATTGTTTTGCTGAAGAGTTCCTGCTTTGGCTAGATGGCTTGGATAATTACATTTTAGTTACATACATCTCTAAAGTCTCAGAATCAGCCTGCTGATTAAGTCCCCACACTGTATCCCCACCTGTTTACAAAAGTCTGGTACTATTTCCCAATACTGTTTTTCCAGTGTGACATACAAATTCCCACCCCAGTTGTAACAGTTTCATTACACTCCTTCTCAGAAGGTGACTCTCCCCCCAATTCCTGAAGTCCCCCCTAACACCTTCATAACACTTCTTTTCAAAACTGACCCAACCCCCAAATTCCCATAGTTGACCTAATGTGACCCATGTGACTGCCCCTAACATTCTGCTTAAATTCAGCCTACACCTGTCCATGGCTGCTGCTTTTTCATTCCTGCTCCTCTAATAAAGTCTTTAGCCTGTGTGGGTCACTTGCCTCTCATTTCTTACAGCATCCTTTTTTCCTGAGCACTTTAAGACATCCTGTTAGAAGCCCCTTGAATTTTAATTCCATCCTGTTATTTAAGCCACATCCCTTTGCAGATTGTGAATCTGCAATGGGAACCAACCAATGGGAACCAACTGTGAACCAGCCAATGGGAACCAATTGTGAACCAGCCAATGGGAACAGTGGGGCGGGGCCTGCTGGGTGAGGGATTAAAAAGGGTGCAGCCTGCTTGTTCTGTGTCCTTGCTTGCCAGATTTTTGGTTGTTGGTGTACCCTTCTGCAGAAGTACATTTTTCTTTGCCAAGTTCCTTTTGAGTTGGTGTCTTTATTCCTATGAGATACCCCAACATCCTGAGTTAGTTCTAACACCATGAGTCTAAGCCTTCAGAGAGTTATGTTTGGAGGAATTTTAGGGAGGTGGGTTCTTGGAGAGCCTGATTCTAAGGTACCTGTGAAGAAGACGAAAGTCTTTGCCAGGTGTTCCTGACCTTCTGCACACTGCCCATCCTGGCAGTGCCGAGCCCAGCAGCTGTATTCACCTGTGTCTGCCCCAGTGGAGTTCACCAGCAGCAGCTGGCTGTGCTGACCAAAGTGCTTGATTCTGAAAGACAGTGAATGAGGCATGCTGGGCATTTTTTGTTAGCTTTTGGGCTTTTTTGCCAATCGTGGGGCTTGAACTCAGGGCCTGGGCCCTTCCCCTGAGCTCTTTTTGCTCAAGGTTAGCCCTCTACCACTTTGAGCCACAGCTCCACTTTTGGTTTTCAGGTGGTTAACTATGAGATAAGAGTCTCACAGACTTTCTTGCCCAGGCTGGCTTTGAACCTGGATCCTTGGATTTCAGCCTTCTGAGTAGCTAGGATTATACGTGTGAGCCACCAGCACCTATGCACAACCTTTCATTGAGCCATCTGCCCCCCATTGACTTTTCTCACAGAATGCAAATGGAATCTCCCAGATACTTTGATGTCCTTGGCACCTTCCTAGTGTACTCTGGTTCAGGCCAGCAAATGCCCTCTAAGTGTCTGTACATGCCAAAGGAGGCAGAATCCCAGGAAATCCCACTTCAAGAGGCTTAAGTGTAGCTGGGGGCAGCACATCTCAGCTGTTATTCTAGCTAATATGAGAGGCTGAAGCTCCCCATCTCAACTGAAAAAGCTGGACGTGGTGGTGTACATCTGTCATCCCAGCTAAAATGAGATAACCATCTAGGCAGTTTCGTCCTAGCCAAGAAGTAAACCACTGCACAGCTAATAGGTCTCATGAACCCATTTTACTGTTTGTGTGTGTTGGTGGGGGGGGAGGACTTGTTTTTTTTTTTTGTCTTTTTATTTTGGTTGGTCATGGGGCTTGAACTCTGCATCTGGGCGCTGTCCCTCAGCTCTTCAGCTCTATCACTTGAGCCACAGCACCACTTCCAGTTTTGTGAGTGGTTTATTGGAGATAAGATTCTCACAGACTTTCCTGCCCAGGTTGGCTTTGAACGGTGATTCTCTGATCTCAGCCTCCTGAGTAGGTAGGATTACAGGCGTGAGCCACCTGCGCCCTGCTTTTTGTTTTTCGCTTTTTGGTTTGTTTGTTTTCTTTTGGTTGTTGTGGGGCTTGAATTCTGGGCTTGGGTGCTGTCCCTCAGCTCTTCAGCTCAAAGCAAACATTCTACCACTTGAGCTACACCGCCACTTCCGGTTTTCTAGTGGTTTATTGGAGATAAGAGTCTCTTGGACTTTCCTGCCCAGGCTGGCTTTGAACTGTGATCCTCAGATCTCAGCCTCCTGAGTAGCTAGGATTACAGGCATCAGCCACCAGTGCCTGGCTTTGTTTTGTTTTTGTTTTTGAGGGGAGGGATTTATCTATAGTTGTACCCTGACAGGATACCCAGTATGGGATGTGAACCATGGTGAGCTTGGGAAACATATATCAGGGTGTTCATAGAATGACTCCCCAGGTACCTGTGACTGGCAGATACCTGGACCCTTTACACTTTTCCTAGAATCCTGGCTGGGAATGTGGCTTAGTGGTAGAGAGCTTGCCTAGCATGCATGAAGCCCTGGGTTCGATTCCTCAGTACCACATACACAGAAAAAGCCAGAAGTGGCACTGTGGCTCCAGTGGTAGAGTGCTAGCCTTGAGCAAAAGAAGCTCAGGGACAGTGCCCAGGCCCTGAGTTCAAGCCCCAGGACTGGCAAAAAAAAAAAAAAGTTTTCCCAGAATCCTCCATACTATACCTCAGGCGCCCCTCGGCCTCCGCCTCCTCCTCCAGGTATTTGGGCATCCTCCAGCGCACGGCCTGCCCCCGGCACCGCAGCACCAGTGGCTTACCAGCCCGCACACTCAGACAGTCCCCTACCTTCTGGAACCCGCCTTTCCCTACTCCCCACGTCAGGATGGAGGGGTGTGGGGAACTTGGAACCATAGGAACTGAAGCTGTCTTCAACCTCTGTGGCTTGTGGCTGTGGAGGGAAGGGGGTTTTCTTTGGCCTGGAGTTCTTGAAGAAGCCTTCTCCTCACTGAAGGTGGTTGCTTTGAGGCCTTTCTTTTGCTGAGCCTTTGGGGCTCTTCTGGGCTCCTGGGTTTCAGCTGCAGAGAGGAAGGGAGTATGGTCTCATGTTCGAAGATTTTCTTTTTTAAGCTAATTTTATTTTATTTTTGGGGGGCCAGTTCTGGGGCTTGAACTCAGGGCCTGGGCGCTGTCCCTCAGCTCTTCAGCTCAAGGTTAGCGCTCTACCACTTGAGCCACAGCACCACTTCAAGCTTTTTCTGCTTATGTGGTCTCATGCATGCTAGGCAAGCACTCTACCACTGAGCCACCTTCCCAGCCCAGTACATTTCTTTTTGGACAGTGTTACCCCTTCCCTACCTCTCTCCCAGTTTTTCCCTCCTATCCCCATCCACAAGTTGTATAGTTCTTTTTCTTTTTTGGGGGGTCCAGTCATGGGGCCTGAACTCTGGGCCTGGGTACTGTCCCTCAGCTCTTCAGCTCAAGGCTAGCGCTCTACCACTTGAGCCACAGCGCCACTTCTGGCTTTTTTTCTGCTTATGTGGTGCTGAGGAATGGAACTCAGGGCCTCATGAATGCAAGGCAAGCACTCTACCACTGAGCCACCTTCCCAGCCCCCTAAGTACTTTATTGGAGATAAGAGTCTCACAGGGCTGGGAAGATGGCTCAATGGTAGAGCGCTTGCCTTGCATGCATGAGGCCCTGGGTTTGATTCCTCACATAAGCAAAAAGAAAAAAGCTGGAAGTGGCATTGTGGCTCAAGTGGTAGAGTGCTAGCCTTGAGCTGAAGAGCTGAGGGACAGCGCCCAAGGCAAGAGTTCAGGCCCCACAACCAGACCTAAAAAAAAAAAAAATCTCACAGATTTTTCTGCCTGGGCTGGCCTCAGATCTCAGCCTCTTGAGTAGCTAGGATTGCAGGAATAAGCCACTGGTGCCCAGCTTTTCTTGGTTTTTATCTTTCCTCCACCACAAACTTGCTGGGTGACAGGAACCCATTAATTTCTGCTATCTTCTGCTAACGAATGAGAACAAGTGTACTTGCTTTGCCAATGATTGTTGTGGATCTTAAGTGAGATCATAATATACATGAAGCAGTTAGAACTCAGTGCCTGGCATATAGTAAAAGCTAAATTAATAGTTGTCATCACAATAGTATATTAGCTCTTAAGTGGAGTGCTGATGGCTCACACATAATCCCAGCTACTCAGAGGGCTGAGATCCTGTGGATCCTGGTTAGAAGCCAGCTAGAAAAGATTTTGAGACTCCAGAAAATAATCAGAAAAAGCTAGGCTGCAGGCCTGGCTCATGATGGAAAGCCAGTGGAGCAAACATAAAGCCTCGAGTTCAGACCATACACATCTTTCTTAAGCTTGCTTATTCTTCCTCAACAAGCATACGAGAAGGGCTAGGAACAACTGTTGATTTCTTTTTTGTTGCCCTAATGGATTGGAGCAGCTGGTGGGAAAATTCTGGCCACCTTCTTGTTTTGATCTGGAGCTGAAATCCAACCAGGAGTAGCTTGCAAGACTAGGTCAGTGTTGGCCTGATTCTGACAGGGCCCACACATCAGGCCCTGATTAGAGGCTGACTATAAATATCTTCGTCAGCAGAGACTCCACTCCTGGGAGCCATTGAAAAATAGCTACACCCAGCTTTAGAGCTCTAAGTTTGTCGAGTCACCTAGACCGATTTACAGACCTTGAGTTTGACTTCACAACCTGACAAGAATGTCTATGATCATAGCGAAAAATTCCTGGGCAGCTGGGTGCCAGTGGCTCACACCTGTCATCCTAGCTACTCAGGAGGCTGAGATCTGAGGATCGCCATTCAAAGCCAGCCCCGGCAGGAAAGTCCACTATTATCTCCAGTTAACTATGAAAAAAAGCTGGAAGTAGCACTGTGGATCAAGTGATAGAGCACTCATCTTGAGGGGGGGAAAAAAAGCTCAGGGACAATACCCAGAGCCTGAGCTCAAATCTCAGGAATAGTGTGCATGTATGCGAGTGCGCATACACACACACACACACACACACACACACACACACAAATCCTCTGGTTTCTCAAGACTCACTTTTGCTGCACAGAGAGGTTTAAGTCTAAGATAACCAGTCCAGTACTATCCTTACCCCTCCTCCAAACCCTCTTTCAAACACCTGCCAGTTCTTTTGCTCCTTTTTTTTCCCCCAGGCCTGGGGGCTTGAACTCTGGGCCTGAGCACTGTCCCTGAGCTACATTTTGCTCAAGGCTAGCACTCTACCACTTGAGCCATAGTGCCACTTCTGGCTTTTTCTGGTAGTTCATTGGAGATAAGAGTCTCAAGGCCTTTCCTGCCCAGGCTGGCTTTGAACACTGATCCTCAGATCTCAGTCTCCTGAGTAGCTAAGATTACAGGTGTGAGCCACCAGAGCCTGGCTACCTCACTCTTTTCCATGTAGGTACCTGTCCCTTTCCTTCTCTGTGATGCTTCCCAGAGGGCATCTGATGGCATCAAGTGGGAATTTTGCCAATGGCTAGGCAGTATTTGGAAGAGGAAATCTAAGATGACAATAGTGTTTAAATGCTGTTCTAATGCTGGTTGCTGTCATCCTAGCTACTCAGGAGGCTGAGATCTGAGGATCAGAGTTCAAAGCCAGCACAGGCTTATTTCCAATTAACCACCAGAAAGCCAGAAGTGGCACAGTGGCTTAAAGTGGTAGAGTGCTAAGCTTGAGTTAAAAAGTTCAGGTATAGGGGCTGAGAAGGTGGCTCAGTGGTAGAGCGCTTGCCTTGCATGCTCGAGGCCCTAGGTTCGATTCCTCAGCACCACATAAGCAAAAAGAAAAAAGCCGGAAGTGGCGCTGTGGCTCAAGTGGTAGAGCGCTAGCCTTTGAGCTGAAGAGCTGAGGGACAGCGCCCAGGCCCAGAGTTCAGGCCCCACGATCGGACCCAAAACAAAACAAAACAAAAGTTCAGGTTTAGTGCCCAGGCCCTGAGTTCAAGTCCCGTGACTGACCAAAAGAAAATAAAATCCCGTTCCAAGCACAGCCCCACATTTTCCTAGGTGGGCTGAGAGATAGAGGTCATACTTCCTCTATCTCTCTCTCTCCTTTTTCTTTTTCTTTTTTTTTTTGTCAATTGTGGGGCTTGACTGGGCGGCACTGTCCCTCAGCTCTTCAGCTCAAGGTAAGCACTCTACCACTTGAGCCACAGCACCACTTCTGGCTTTCTACTGGTTTATTAGAGATAAGAGTCTCAAGGACTTTCCTGACTGGCCTGGCTTTGAATCATGATCCTCAGACTGGTGCCTGGGCATTTATTGTTATTATACAGGTGATGTACAAAGAGGATACAGTTACACAAGTCAGATAAACAATACATTTCTTTTTGGACAGTGTTACCCCTTCCCTTGCTTTCTCCCAGTTTTTCCCTCCTATTCTCACCCACAAGTTGTATACTTTGTTTTCAATATAGTGTCTAGTGAGTACCACTGCTGCATTTGTTCACCCTTTGTCCCTCTATTTCTGCCCCATTCCCCTCCCAAAGACAAATAAACAAACCAACAAGACAAAGGGAAAAGAAAACAAAAATAGCAAGAGAGAGGGGAAAAAAACCCTCTTGTTTCCATTTCCTGGAGTTCATTTCAATAAGTATTATTTTTATACGATATTTTTGGCTTTTTGATCGTTAATTGGAGATTAGAATCTCATGGACTTTCCTTCCCGGGGCTGGCTTTGAACCTCAATCCTCTGCTCCCTGCCTCCTTAGTAGCTAGGATTACAGGTGTGAGCCACTAGCTCCTAGCTTGTTACCTCTTCTTGAGTGCATGTAACTGTAGGGCTCACCATCTGTGGAGGTAGTATCATTTAATCCTTAAAACCTCTGCATGATTTTTAAAATTTTTTATTCTTATTATTCCACTTTATCCTAAATTAACTGAGTCTTAGACTAGAGCTAGGATTTGTTCAATCAGATTCCAGTGTCTGCAAATCACAGCACGAATCGGAGATCGCTAGACAAACGAGAACCTCTGACTTCCAGGTCAGAGAGGCCTGTGAGATCTGGGAGATTCCAACCTCAGGCATGCATGAGGGAACCCAGCTCAGAGGTGATAGGACCCGGTCAACACCCAGCACAGCAAAGGCAGGAGCTGAGTTTGGAACAGCCTCTCTACCTGATCTCTGTGAGGTTCCCCAGGCTGGCACTGCAGAAAGCCAAAGGAAAAGAGTCTTGGTTTATGCAAAGCTTTGCCAAGATAGAAGATGTGCATACCTGAAGAGATACAGATGAGCAGGCCGCAGGCCAGAAAGCAGGAGAACTTGGGGTGCATGGTGGGTCAGCCTGGTACAGACAGACAGCTGCGACAGCAGAGGAGACAGACTGCAGGCAGCTGAGTGTGATCAGGGAAGGGGCCAGGGACCCCTGGCATGAGAGGGGAGGGGGACTTGATTTCAAAGTCCTGAGCCCAAACAAAATTCCTTTCTTTGGGTTCCCCCTGCCAAGGTGAATGGAGCTATTCAGAACCGTGCTCAGGAAAAAACACTGTGGCAGCCAGGATAGGAGGGTCCCCAAGGACAGATAGAAGGGGTTGGCATGGAGCTGGAGGGGACATTGAGAGTCACAGGAGGGTCACCAGAGGGCATCTGAGGACACAATAGGTGAATGTGGCTAATGGGAGATAAGGCGCGAAGTGGCCTTAGACGTTAGATTAGGCTATGGGCCGTACGCCTGGCAGGCTGCTTTTGCCTTATGAGCCAAGAATGGTTCAATCTTTTTTTTTTTTTTTAATGTGCTGGTGCCAGGCGCTGGTGGCCCACACTTGTAATCCTAGCTACTCAGAAGGCTGAGATCTGAGGATCGCGGTTCAAAGCCAGCTCAGTCAGTAAACTCTGAGACTTAGAAAACTGTAAGTGGCACTGTGGCTCAAGTGGTAGAGCGCTAGCCTTGAGCTGAAGAGCTGAGGGACAGCACCCAGGCCCAGTGTTCAAGCCCCATGATTGACAAAAAAATAAAATTAAAAATAAATAAATAAATAAGTAAATGTGCTGGTACTGGGGCTTGAACTCAGGGCCTAAGGCTGTATCTTAGCTTTTTCCACTCAAAGGCTGGCACTCTACCACTTGAACCACAGCCCCACTTCTGGCTTTTTTGGTGGTGAATTGCAGGTAAAAGTCATACTTTTCTGCACAGCTTGGCTTCAAACTGTAAATCTCAGATCTCAGCCTTCTGAATTGCTAAGATACAGATGTGAGCCACTGACATCTGGCTGATTATTTTGAAATATTTTTAGTCTTTTTTTCTTCTTTTTTTGGTGCCAGTCCTAGGGCTTGAACTCAGGGCCTAGGCACTGTCCCTGAGCTACTTTTGCTCAAGGCTAGCATTCTACCACTTGAGTCACAGCGCCACTTCCGCTTTTTCTGTGCATGTGATACTGAGGAATCGAACCCAGGGCTTCATGCATGCTGGGCGAGCACTCTACCATTGAGCCACCTTCTTAGCCCTGAAGTATTTTTAAGTAATACCTGGTAACAAGTGAAAAGTATGTGAAATTCAAATTTTAGTCCAAAAGTCACTCCGTTTAGTTTGTTTTGAAGATGGGGATCTTGTTATTTAGTTTAAACTAGTCTTGAGCTGGTCATCCCTCTATTTCAATCTCTGAAGTGCTGGGGTTATAGGCCTGAACCAGTATCTCCAGCACTATTCTCATTCCATCCACATTTTCTTTGTCTTTCTTTCTTTCTTTCTTTCTTTCTTTCTTTCTTTCTTTCTTTCTTTCTTTCTTTCCTTTTTTTTTAATGTTTTTTTATTGTGAAAATACTGTACAGAGGCGTTACAATTCCATGAGCAAAGTAATGAGTGCATTTCTTATCAAGCATTGTTGCCTCCTCCTTTGTTTTTCCCCTACCATCCCTTCCCTCCCACCTCCACAGCTACACTCCCCACCCCCTACCCCCGCCTGCCCTGCCTAAATTGTAAAGTTCATTTTTCATCATAGTGTCTTGTACATCTCATTGTTACAATGGGTCAATTTGTATCCCTATTTAAACACTTTGTTTTAAAAATATGGAACACTTCAGGAATTTGCCTGTCATCCTTGCTCAGGGGCCATGCTAATCTTCTCTGTATCATTCCAATTTTAGCATATGTGCTGCCAAAGCAAGCACTCTTTCTTTCTTTCTTTCTTTCTTCCTTCCTTCCTTTCTTTCTTTCTTTTGTTGGTCATGAGACTTTAACTCTGGGCCTGAGTGCTGTCCCTCAGTTCTTCAGCTCAAGGTGAGCGCTCTACCACTTGAGCCAGAGCACCACTTCTGGTTTTCTGGTGGTTTATGAGTCTCACAGACTTTCCTGCCTGGGCTGGCTTTGAACAGCCATCCTCAGATCTCAGCCTTCTGAGTAGCTAGGATTACAGGCGTGAGCCACCAGTGTCTGGCTCCATCACATTTTCTATGGCTGCTTTTATACTACAATAGCAAACGGCAATAGCAATCAGAACTGAGGCCAAGTGGCCTAATTGAGCAGAAAACAATTACTTTCTGGGTCCTTACTGAAAAAATTTGTTGACTCTTACAATTAAAAAAAAAATGGCATGGCTGGGAAGGTGGCTCAGTGGTAGAGTGCTTGCCTTGCATGCATGAGGCCCTGGGTTCCATTCCTCAGCACCACATAAGCAGAAAAAAAGCCAGAGTGGCACTGTGGCTCAAGCGGTAGAGCACTAGCCTTGAGCTGAAGAGCTGAGGGACAGCATCCAGGCCCAGAGTTCAGGCCCACGAACAGACCCCCCCCACCAAAAAAATGGTATCTCTAAAAAGTAATTACATGGCTTAGAACACAGATTAGTGGTAGAGTGCTTGCCTAGCACACATGAGATCCTGAGTTCACTTTCTCAGTACCACATAAACAAAACATTGTATTTGGCTGGGAGCTGTGGCTCATGCCTGTAATCCTAGTTACTCAAGAGGCTGAGATCCTGGTTCAAAGCCAGCCTGGGCAGGAAAGCTCATGAGACTCTTATCTCTAAATAATGACCAAAACGCCAGAAGTAGAGTTATGACACAGGTCATGGAGTGCCAGCCTTGAGTGAAAAATTAAGGACAATACCCAGGCTCTGACATAGACCCAGTATTCACACACACACACAAACACACACACACACACACACACAGATAACGCTCAACCTCTCTCCTGAGTGCTAATGGCTCACATCTGTAATCTACTCAAAAGGCTGAGATCTGAGGATTACAGTTCAAATCCAGCCCAATCAGGAAAGACTGTGAGACTGATCTCCAATTAACCCTCTAAAAACTGGAAGTGGATCTGTGGCTCAAAGTGATAGAGCACTAGCCTTGAGCAAAAAAAGCTCAGGGAGAGTGTCCAGGCACTGGGTTCAAGCCCCATGACTGATTAAACAAAACAAAACAAAAGCTCAACCATCATTTAAACAACCAAGTCCTTCCTCGCCCATCCACTCCTCCCCCGCCCACCACCCCATTACTCATTTATTATTTATTCTCTTTTAAATGGTAGCCTTACCACCATTGATCCATTTCTTGTCAAAGAGAGTTAAGATTCTTTCAAGTTTTGTTATTGCAAACCATGTTGCCTCGAGAGCTAGCATTTCAGGACCCAAATAACTATGTTTCCCTTGAAGAAAATAGTAGATACGTTCACCACAGACAGGTCACCCGATGTCCTTTTTCTCCTGTCTGTCTGTGGCCTCTGTAAACAGAAACATCACATCCCTCCAAATGCAGCCATTGGCCCGTGACTTTCCTGCAGGGTTCTGTCTGCATCCTTACTCTCCCGTAGCCTGGAACATTCCTGCAGACTTCTGGCTGAAGGAGGATTCCTTTGAAATAACGTCAGTGCTCATTTTTGGACAGAGAGGCCTTGGCGGAGGAGAAGGGGTGCTGCAGGGAAGAGGCCTTGCATGGGGGTAGTGGGCTGGAGCATGGGGTAGTGGGACGGCACGAGCTAAGCTTGGGGGCCACATGTAGCTTTACTGCTTGCTGAGTGATCTCGTGCAGCCTCCTCTCCTTGGGCCCCAGCTTGCCTGCTTTAGGGCTCTCACATTCTTTCCTCATCACAAAATTGATCACCATTGGGAAATTATATATATTACATTACATATTCATATAATATACATATAATACATATACAATAATATATAATGCATATAATAATAATAATATAATGATATAATAATACATATACAATACATATAATATAATATACACATAATATACATATTAATATATAGTACATTATAATATATACACATAACATGGATATATTATTATATATACATGCTGTATTATACTAGATATATATTATACATGTGTACATGTATGTTATATAAATTATAATACATATTATAATAAATACAATATATATTCATATATTACATATAAATTTATTATATGATACATAGGATAACATATTATCCTATATATATCCTGTATATATATATATACATACACCATATATATCCTATATGTTACCTTATATATATTATGCCTTAGATATTATCCTATATGTTAATATACAGGATATTATGTTGTCCTATATGTAACATATTATCCTATATATTACTTTATTATATCCTATATAATATTAAATAATATATTATATATTATATTCTATATATTACCTTATATATAGGATAATCTGTTATCCTATATATCCTCTATACAATATGATTATATAAATATATAGGTGATAGCGCATATATATTACATAACATATATCATATCTATCATCTAGTTATGTGCATATATATTTGTGTGTGTGCTCCAGTAGTGGGGCTTGACCTCATGGCCTGGGCACTGTCCTTGAGCTTTTTTGTGAGGTGGGGGGGGGGGCAGATTCTAAGAGGTAGCTTAGCTTCTGGCCTCTCATTATCTCCCAGTCTTCAGGGAGGTGCTGGGGTGACTGACAAGATGCCACTTTGAACCCTAGTTCTAGCTCATAGTTTCCCAGAGGAAGAGTTTCCCAAGAAGAGTATTGGTATGTCTGATAAGAGTCAAGGCTACCAGGCACTGGTGGCTCACGCCTGTAATCCTAGCTACTCTGGAGACTCAGATCTGAGGATCATGGTTCAAAGCTGAGCAAGAAAGTCCTCCAGACTCTTATGTCCAATTAACCACCAGAAAACCGGAAGTGGTGCTGTGGCTCAAGTGGTAGAGCATTCGTCTTCAGCTGAGGAACTGAGGGACAGCACCCAGGCCCAGAGTTCAAGCCCCATGACCGACAAAAATGAAAAAAGAGCCAAGGCCCTGGACAATGCCCTGTTACGCTCTGGAACCCAAGGCCAGACCACGGGGTGTCCAGCTG